AGCGGCGACTGAGACTCCGACGCGCCACCCAAGAAGCGACTGAAGCTGCCGGGCGGGGCCGAGGGCGGCGGCGTCAAGCTGGAGGAGCGGCTCTACTCGGTGCTGTGCTGCACGGTGTGCCTCGACCTGCCCAAGGCCTCCGTTTACCAGGTGCGCGACCCCCGGCCCCCCGCCCCCGGCCCCCCGCACGGCGAGGCGGCCCCGCCGACCGTCGGCGCCCCCCGCGCTCGCAAGGGATGCCGGGATCGCCGGTCTCGCTCGCCCGGGACGGGCCGCACTGCCGGGGCCGCGCCGCGCTTCGCCCTTGGGCGCGACAGCGCGCCCCGGGCACGCCTGCCCTGGCGTCGAGCCCGCTGACGCGCGGCGCTTACTCCCGAGTAGGCATGCGGGGGGCCTGGTGGCGTGTGCACGCCGGGGAGCCGTGCTGGCCGCTCGGGAATGCTCGTGGGGGAGTCGGAAGGAGTGGCGGGCCCCTGAGGACGGCGGGCCCCCCACAGCTGCTGCTCTTGCATCGCACCCTCGCTGGCCCTCCCTGGCAGAAGTAGGGGGCAGGTTAGGGGCAGTCAAGATATTAGGAGAAACCGGAAATAAAAGCCCAACCCACCCTTCAAGGGGTGACCTCAGGTGGGCTAGCTGCCCTTCGCTTCACTGTTACAAACTAATGGCCGTTGTTGAGCAGTGCTGTAGCTCAGGTGCTTTCTGCTGTTCCGCGCAAGGTGGTGGGTGGCCCAGCCCGGAAGGGGGTGGGAAGTACAGATTGATGGGGAAGAGCACCTTCGAGCCAGCGAATGTGGCTGGGAAGGGCATGAGTGCAGCCCTTGTTGTAGTCTTGCTTCCCCCTTGCACAGAGTATACATCTGCCAGCAGTGTGTGTGGGCACTGTATGCCCTGCGCAGGCTGCCTGTATCCACTGCTCCCCTTCTTATGGAACTTGCACAGGCTAAGCTGGAGAATGAAAGCAGTTTTCTGCCAGGCAGTCACCTTCTGCCTGGCTTAGACTGGGATCTCTGTTTTTGAGCACCGAGCCAGGGTCTTGACCTCTTTCTCTCTGCCCCACCTCATAGCCTACTGATTATCCCGGTGCCAGACCTTGTGGCCAACAGATTTTGCTGTCCAGTTTCAACCCCCTGGTATAACTTGCCCTGCTCAGGCTCCAGAGGCTGGGCTCTGAGTTACATGGTGTGCTTCTAAGCTTTTTTCCTTGGGTTAATATTCTACTGGCTCTGATATTGTTGAAGGCAGAGCGGGATGTAAATAGTAAACCAGAAGTGAGCTATTGCATGACACTGCTGCATGTGATTAAACTTGCCGGGTCCAGAACCACCGTGCGTATCCCCTCTGTTGGTTTGCTGGGAGGACCACCCAGGGTATTTGCTGGCTCCTCGCTCCACAGTCCCACTGGCTGTATTTCCTTATGATGATGGGCAATTTGCATGATTGCCCATGAGAACCAGTTTGTTCGGTATCTTTTTATGCACTGTACGTGTGTGTGACTATTTGGAAGAACATGGTAGTTACAGGAGAATGTGGCTCTATGGGAGGGTCGGAAGGCGTTTAGAGAGCCGCCTCTATCCTATGGGTTAATTACTGCATCTTACATTATTCTCCCTCTTAAATATCGGAGAGAAACATCTGCCTGTCTTTCCCACAGGGCTATAGATCTATTTAGAATTTTCCCACATAACAGATGGTTCTCGCTCCTGTTTCTCTCCTGCTTTCAAGGATCTTCCAGCCCAATGATTTTTTTCCTAGTGAGACCAGAAAGAATGTGGACTAGTTCATCCCGCCTCACAAATACATAAAGGTGCCATCCTTGGCTGCTGTGCGTTATTTGTTACAGTTTTATACCATGTAGTAGCTGAAGCTGTGGGTGGGTCATACTAAAATCAACCAGACAAATTCCAGCCCTTGCTTTGGTCCTGTGTTCTGTCCCTGCATGAGCAGAGAGAGTAGTAGCTTTTTTCTGTCTCTGTGCTCCATTGAATTCCTATGAGCATTTTGGGGCAAAGAAACCACAGGGAACGCTCTGGGCAAACAGAAAAGCCAACAACCAAGCAAACTTGTCTGTCCGGGCTTCACTGAGGGTTGTTTCAGCTGCAGGGAAGCAGTCTCTTCTGCTCCCTGCCTTCAACCCTTGAATGTTTGCAGGACAGAGACTTTAACTAAAAGAAGCTGAGTGTGAACCAAAAGCGCTGAACATGTGACCGCAGCATGTGACTTGCCTCGCTTAAGTCCCCAAATGCAAAGGTCATTGCCTTGGCGATGTTACACTTTGGTGGCTGTGCCATCAGAACATTAGCATCGTGTTCTCTGCATCGTCGCCATGATTCCTTGCTAAAAGGCCGGGCAGATGTTTCCCTTCATGCCTGGCCCAGCAGGAGAGGAGCTAGTATTCCTACTGCGAAAAGGGACTCGGGGTCCCAGTGAAGAGGGGGTTCTTGGTAGGACTTCTGTGAGCAGCAGGCATGCAGCTAAACTGAGCCAGCACTAAGAATGGAATCCTCTTGTGCCAATACAGCAGGTCTTGGAAGCTCTGCTCTGTCTGAAGTTGGTGTTGAGAGATGTGTGTGTGTTCAGCCTCAACCCGCCCCCCCCATTGCTCATTCGCTTCCAGCCTAATTCAAGGTGTTGGTCTTGATATTGAATCCTGGGTTCTGCTTTTCCCTAAACTGGGTTGACCTTCAAGCCGTTGCTGGTCATTCCTTCTCTGTTGCTTATCAAGACAGTTATGGCCAGAGGCCGCGAAGGCTGGCCCTTCCATGGGCAACCATTTGGATTCTCTGTCTCTCACCACTCCTGTCTTGCTTATTGCTTACCTGTAGTTCTCTTTCATTATACAGGCAAGTGACAAGACTTAATTTTTGAAAATACGTATTTACAAATTTTATATAGTGTTCCACATCTAAACAGATTCCAGAGTGGTAGATGATAAAGATTGAAATATATCAGAATGTCTGTGTATATATTTAAAACAGTGGTTTTATTTTACTCCTAAAAGAAGGATGTTTTCAGGACGTGCCAGGGACCACACAGTGTTGGTGCCTGCCTGACCTCCAGAGGCAGGGCAGGGCGTTCCATGGAAATGGGACCTGCCCGCGGAAGGTTCTTCTCCAGGTGGACTCCAGTCAGGCCACCCGTCTGTCCGGAGCCACCCGGAGCAGGCGCTTTGCATCTGCAAAAGTAGTTGAAACTGCTGGAACCCAGCCAGCGAGTTTTGGTTATTGGGCAGCATAGAAATAAACTGTTTTAATGTTTCTTAGGTCCTAACCATATTGCTGAGATTGAGGGGGTGGAGCAGGGGCCTGTTTGAAAATCTGGGGAGCAGCTGTCAGTCAGTGTAAACAATACTGAGTTGGATGGAACAATGGAAGCTTCCTATGTTCCTATGACAACCGTTTTTTCCAAGTTCTAAGCAGCCATGGAAAGGAAGGTATCTTCTATGTCCAGGCAGAAGAGAAAGGGAAACACATGCTGGTTAATATGTGTCTCGACAGCTTGTGATTTCTGTGGAAACTTGCAGAAAGTACCATAGATAAATAATGGAGGTACCTGCTCCTCCTCGTATTGTTGGCTTTGGGAAATGCTCGTTTTGCAAGCTAACGATTATGAGAACAGAATTTCCGAGCTGTTCTGCAGCTTTTTATCAAGGTGTTTTGTTCTGGAGTTCTTTGGTGAGCAGGCTTAAGCCCAATATATGCACACTGCATTCTCACTCCTAAGAGCTGGTTGCCAGTAGCGGCAGGTAACTGGCGAGTCTAATGCTGGGGCGGGAGGGTGCCTCACGCTTGTTTTTAGCTGCAGCTGAAGGCCTTAGCCGGTACCCTTGGGGTGTCTGCTTGGTTGGCAGGCTTTTTCTGCATGGGTAAGCTGGTTATGACACGACCGGCAACCCTTTTGTGACCTGAAAGGCTCCCACAAGACGGACCCCTGTGCGCTCATCAGGCTGGGCGGGTTGGTCATCTTACTCCCAGCTGGCGGCGTGGAGGCGGCATTCTTCCTCTGCTCGGCCCTGAATGTTCTGGGCTTTGAGTGATCTTGTCTGAAGGTCACCGATCACAGCCTTGTCTATAATTGTACCAAGGAGAATCCTCCTGGTAAACCAATGAGCAGCTGACATAGTAACTCTCAAGGAGGGAATGCTAGGGCAGAGTGCAGCACATTGTCAATAACGAGAGATCTCTTGTGCCTGGGCTTACCCTAGAGCGGTAGTCTTTGGGTACTTCAGCCCCAGGGCCAGCCTTTAGTCCAAACATACGTTTCCAGGTGCACTTGCGTTCCACTGACCACCTGTTTTTCTGGTGGCAACACTCTTGCATATATTGCAGGAAGCCGAGACCTTGCAATGTATCCTGACCTGATGATCAAAGCCCTGAGATGCTCTTCCTCATCCTGGTGTCCTCCAGGTGCCTTTGACTTCAGCTCCCCTAGTTAATTATCAGGAATGTTGGAAGCTGTTATCCAAAACATTTGGAGGGCATTCTGTCAGGAAGAGGCCCTCAAAAGTTTGAAGAGAAGATTGCATTGTGTAGCTACTTCCTTCTCTAGCTGGTTGTGCAACTGAGTTTAGAGCAAGTTACTCTGAAGCAGTGCATCTTGGGAGTGTAAACAGGCTAATTACAGGGTGCATTGTTGACTGGTAACCTTGAATGCTGAATGTTCAGGGAAGACCGTCCTTCCCACGCTTGGGAGTTATAAATATGTTTAATACTCACTGTGTGTATAAGATGGTACTTGCGATGTGCCATCTTATTTTTACAGCTAATTTAATTAAGGTGTAGGCAACAGAACTGAGGCTCGAGTGACTTACTTGTCCCACGATCTGGCTGAACAAGAATTTGAACTCACCTGCCATCTTACACAAGCAGTGAGCCACAAATCTTGTGATCACCTGAGAATCCTTAAAATCTGCTGTGCATACCAGAGAACTTGACTGGTGCGAACAGGTGCATCGCTTGTGCCTGCGCAGGGATCTGAAACAGAAAAAAGGCTTTGGTGACGGCTTCTGCCGAGTACCTTATGAGAAAGGCTTAAAAAAACCTCAAACCACACAGCTTTGGAGGTGGCAGAAGCTTGGTGGTGTGAAATAATTCATCTCCTTTTCCTTAGCTGGGGAAGGGGACTGGTGGGAGAGGTCCCTCGTTAGATTATGCAGGACTCTTTCCTGTTGGCCGGTCATCTTGCGAGGCTCAGGAGCTTCCTAAGAATTTACTCTGAAGTATGTCTTCTAAGTTTATTATGTCATTTCTGTACTGCGCCCCATTTAAACCTGATGCTCCTTCCTGGCTTCTCTGGGGAAATATGTCGCCGCCAACTTGCCTTTTGTGTCCGTTGCTCTGATGCTGGGGATGCCCTGGCTCTGCTGCGATGCTCGCTCCGGTGACCCCGCCTGTTGAGCTGCCATGTGCTCTGCATGAGGCTCGGCCCTCGGTATTTCGGAGCTGCCCGGCCTACCTGTGGCTCTCGCCTCAGCAGTGGTGAGGCAGGTGCCTGATGGACGCAGCTGGGTCACGGGGTGTCCTTGTGCGTGTGTGACTGGCCCTGCTGACCAGGCAGCGCCCGGGCGCACTGCGAGCCCTTGGTGCAGGCGGCTCGATTCCCTTGGGTGCCGGTCTTTTTGCAATTGGGGTGTGGTGGCTGATGGCTCTCTAAGTAATGGCCTAATAGCATATTATTCATAGGACCAAACTCATTTCCACGTCTTACGATTGCTCTTGGGTTGACCAGAGCGGGTGACTTTTGCCTCTTGCCCTGATTCAGAGAGTAAAGTGCCTTGTTTGATAAGAAAGCTGCTTTATTCTCTATCTGAAGTTTCAGTCACCCCATTTTCTGGCCATGCTGGTTGGGAAGTAAGGGAGCTGCCGTTCAGCGCATTTGTAGGGTACCGAGTTGGGGAAGGTTGATAAAGGTAGCGGCTTTGCCCTCAGGATGTGAGTACAGCACCCTCCCCATCCTATTTTCCCGGCAACCGTGGGCTGCCCCCCTCTTGCTGGAGGGAGTAGCCACTGGAAGTCTTTCCCCCCATCAATTCTTTTAAAGCCATGCAGATTTGAGACCACTGCACCTTGTGGCAGTGAACCCCCTAATTTAACTCTGTGCTCTCTGAAGAAGTGCTTCCTTTTGTTTGTGCTAAACCTTCCTCCGGGCAGCCCTGGGGTGACAACAGGTGCGGCCGCACAAGGAGAGCTTGGTCCTGGGGCTTTTGTTTTCAGTTCTTTCCCCAAAAGCAAACTGCCCAAGATGAAATTTGCTTTTTTGCACAGCGGCTGCACAGTGGGTTGACTCTTCCATCAAGCTGCCCACCAGAACCCCGGCATCCTTTTCTTGGCCAGTCACTGGGGTTGCTGGGCAGAGGGTCACCTGAATGCTCCCAGTTTGGAGAGAACCCTCTGGAGATCCTCACGGGTCCTTTTTGTTCTAATCATTGTTGGCAAACTTGGCCGCTTTGCGACTCGCTCTGTATTCCAAATCATTTACAAATGATTTGAGAACACTTGAATCATTCTGGTGTACCTCTGGCCTTGCCTTGTTATTATATTAGATTAAACCCCTACCTGTATTCCTCTTGTAAGACCCTCAACACAGCTTGCAAGATTCGCCTCCTCTGTATTTTACCCTCAAACAACAACTCTGTGAACTGGCTTGACATCACCCAGATCTCCTGTGTCCCAGCCCCACACTGTAACTACTGGGCCACTTCGTTCCACTGCTGGCCTTGCTGATAGGCTATCCAGATGGTGACATTCCTAGTACTAATGTACAGCTAGGCAACGCAGCAAACCTTGCATAGCTGTAAACTAGTACCAGGAATAACCAGTAGAAAACCCCAAATGAACCATGCATTTGGGGTCATGATTTTGTGGTGATGGAGTATGTGATAATTCGATCTTGGGAACACGAGCGATCATCCAGCTTGGAAGCAGGGCATCTGGTGGTATGTGCGTTAGGCGCCAAGGAGCCATGGGGCGTTAGCGGGGTGGCTGTAGCGACCGGAGGGTTTTGGCAGGAGGCAGGTGGTGCCACCTGTTCCCAGCAGGTGCAGTTCAAGATGCTGCTCTGGAGTCATGGAGCATGGAGAGCCAACTCCAGCCGACCCGATCTAGAGAAGCCCAGTTGGGGGGGTGCCGCCAGGATGCCTGCCTTTCCCACTTCAGGTGTGTCAGCCAGCTCTTGTGTGAGCAAGTGGATTGTTGCCATACAAACAGGATCACTTGGAGTGAGCAGTGATGCTGACCAGGAGGCGCGCAGCGTGCTGGTATGGCCAAACTTACTCTAGTTTTAATTTCTGCCTAAGCCAGGGATCTGTGCTTGCCAAGAGCTGCTTCGCTTACTGGCACAAAAGTGTTTCGGAGAAAGAAACCATAAGATCGCTGCTAAAATGGCTTGAACTGTCTCAGAAAGAAGGGAGAGGACACAGGAAAATGAGAACATGCAGCGCTCAGTTATACTTGCTCTTCTTTGTTCTTTTAATGACACTGTGAAGGTTTGACATACCTCAGGTATCGCTGCACAGGTGTCAGCTGTCCTTAACAATGAACCTTTGAGGGAAGCTCTGGATTTAGAATCTGAGCTTCCATTTCCCCCTGACTCTCAGCTCCTTGGGCTGCTCTGGGCAAGAACCACTTTCCGTGTTTATACTAAAGTATAATTGCCCTGTTTTTCTCTGCAATTAGTGGCATGAAGTGCCATGTAGTATTTTGAGTTGGAGTAAACAGGAAAAACACCCTCTTGTTTTCCAAACTGTCCGTGTTCCCTGCCCCCACACATGGAGACTTGCGAGGCGGACAAATGGGCAGGCCCTGTGCTGTGCCCGGTTCGGCTGCTGTGGCCATAGTCCTCTCTTTGTTTCTCGAGCACCGTATGTCATGCAATCCTCCTCTTCTCCTTCTCTTCTGGTGTTGCACTGGACGGGCAGGGAGATGTACATGCAGCGGTGGGGGGCGTGTACACTTGAGCAGTATTCAAGTGTGCCATGTGGTAATTTTACAGTAGAAGGGGAGGTGGCAATCGATTTTTCTTCCTCCCACATCTAATGCATGCTAATAACTGGGGAAATGCTTTCTGGCTGCTATTTCAGACTTCATGACAGCTTAATTATTGACTTGGTAATTTGCTTCAATATTGATCTAGTAAAATCCTGATTGTGTCTGTCTGTCTTTGATCCAAAATCTCTTTAACTTGTTAGTGGTGGTGGGAAGACCCCTGAATCCTGTAATTAATGTCAGTCTACACTGCACTGAGTAACAGTGGCCCTTTCTGCCTTGAGTGTCATTTCTCTTGGTGGAAAGGGAACGTGCAAACCAAATCCAGTATTATATTTACACCTGAACTGTAAGTCTTGAACCAACAGAGTAGGCCACAAATCTTCCTTCCAGTTTCAAAAAGCTAGTTTTTAATCAGTATGTCCAAACAAGTTTGGCTCGGATTGGTATTTGCTAAGCATTTATGTAATGAACAAGAATTATTTTTTCTAGGACAATCCTAGCCTGAGGATAGCTTTTTCACAGCACAATTTTATGCATGTTTACTCAGAGGGAACTCCTGCTACATTCAGATGGGCTCCTCCAGAGAGCTGTGCTTTGGACTGCTGCTAAAGGGCGATGTGATCTATGTGTGTTGTGTTCTTTGAGCATGGTCGTTATCTGAGTCCGTGAATGAGTGGGGGACATTCTTAATTGGAGTTTTAAGTGGAGCAGAGATTGCAGAAGAATGAAGGAGGAGGCATCTCTTTTAGGGATAGGTTGCACTTGGCTAGGTGGCTCCTGTGCTTTCCAGCTCAGCGATCTTAATTAAACTATGGCCTGCTGAGACTCAATAGCTTGAAGAATGTGTGCTGCTTTTGGGCAACGGGCTTTCCTAGTTTGAAGCTGCCCAGTCAGTTTGATAGAATAGTTATTTCAGGACAGGGCTCCATCATGTTTCTCCCCACATGCACTGCTCACAAAACTGCTTTGCGCCCTTCCGGTCCTGAGACAGCCTGAGAACAAACCTTTGTACTTCAGAGTGGGAAAGGAGAGCTGCTCAGGCATTTGCTTTTGCACAGTTTAGGCACTGATGTCCCTGAGCTTAAAGACTGGCAGGTTCTGAAACAAGCTCGCTGGATGTGGGTTACGGGGAAGAGGATTGTTTTCCGAGTTGTTTGTGTCTTTCTAGTTAAAGATACCATCTTCTTTTGGAGTTTTGCTCATGAGTGCAGCAAGGTGCTTAATGGAGCAAATGCGCTTGCGAAGTTTAAAGACCTGACACTTGCCATGATGGGAAACCTCATTGCAAGGAAGAATGGTTCGAAATGCCAATAAAATAGGCTAACCGGGGTCCGTGCCTAATGCCGGAGCGGTGCGGATCTCTTGCTGTACTCTTTCTAGAAGGCCTCTGAAGTTCCGATTTCCCTTTTGCCACAGTGTACAAACGGGCACTTGATGTGCGCTGGGTGTTTCATCCACCTGCTGGCAGATGCGCGGCTGAAGGAGGAACAGGCCACATGTCCCAACTGCCGCTGTGAGATCAGCAAGAGCCTATGCTGCCGAAATCTCGCCGTCGAGAAAGCGGTGAGCGAGCTGCCGTCGGAATGTGGCTTCTGCATGCGGCAGTTTCCTCGCTCTCTTCTGGAGAGACACCAGAAAGAAGAATGCCAGGACAGGTAAGCGGCCTTGCTCGCCATTCCCCAATGTGCCACAGATGAACCCGACGCAATCCATGTAACTTATCACAGTGAGAACAGAGTGGCTCATGGCGTGGCGTGCATAGAAAATGTGGAGCCACATCGCGTTGTCTGTGGGGCCGAGCTTGGGACGCTTTCCGTAGGTTCTTTCAGTGGGGAGTCTTCGTCAGGCTGCCACGGGGGAATCGTGGGGAGGAGGTTCAGTGTAACTAAGTGTGGAGTCATGCGAGGCTTTGGAAAGGAATCTGTGTCCACGTGCTGTGCATGGGCGGCATGCAGATGGCTTGTGCGTGCAGGGGGAGGAATTTGGGGCATGAAAAGTCATTGTCTGCCTCAGGGAAAGGAACCCCGCACATTTCGTGCTTGAGACTATTGGGCAAGCGGATTGTTGCCAGGAACATAAAACTGCCAGCATTATCATGTCTGACGGTAGGTCCCATTTGGCACATGGAGGATATTTTGGGTGGAGATTCTGTCCTACATTTGTAGTGATGTCAAAGTTGGGGCTGCAGCATCAAGCCTGACGGTTGGTAAGATGCACTGAACACTCAAGGGGTGAGAGCATTTCACAAGGAGAAGGCCCTGTGGGCAGCGGGCTTTTCAGCTTGTGGGGTTTTTTTGTTAAAATGTGACTACAGGATGTAATAAGTTGATGAAACCATGAGCAGTACATAGATTGTGTATGGATATTTTATATTAGATCATGGAGATCATCCTATTGATAGCAAGCTCAGGATAGCGATCTACAGTAGAATGTCAATTTTGTTCAGTATAAATAGTAATGACTGTTATTCCAACTATTATTCCTGCTACAACTAGGAAGACCCCATATCCGTTCCACAGAAACAGTTTCTGAGACAATCTGTTCCATGATTTGCTTCTGGTATAGCCTATGAGATATTCTGTTCTTTGGGGAATACTTGAACAGTTTACAGTGCATAGTGCAGGAAAGCTGATGCTTTTTGACCCCCCACAGGACTCCATTCCATACGTCTGTGAAGTAGCATGGAAGCTGAACTGATCTGGTTTTCTAGGGGTTGCCTGTGTCTTCAAAATGTCTTGTTTAAGTTTCTTTCTGCAGAAATGTTCCTAATAAATTTGGGTGCGGAGTACTGCGGACGGGAGGGGCGGGTGTGGCGAGGCTACAGACAACTTCAGTGGGTAAACCAACTCGATGTTCTGCAGTGCACACCTTTGTTGCATAATCCTGACAAGGCCCGTCCTGGCACGGGCGCTGTGGGGCTGTTCCAAGGTCTGTCCTGAGAACGTGGTCACCATGGCACTGCTTGGTAGGGGACAGTCTTTGGAGCCCTGAATTTGGGGTCTGCCTTTCGTGTGCCATGCTCAGAGTTGCGTTATTGTCCTTTTGCTGTCTCCCTGGCACCCTGTTTTGGCCGCTGTTCATCTGTCCTCGTTTTAAATTGCAGGGTGTCTCGGTGCAAGTACAAGCGGATTGGGTGCCCGTGGCAAGGTCCTTACCATGAGCTCACTGTGCATGAGGCAGAGTGCACACACCCGACAAAGACCGGGAACGAGCTGATGGAGATCCTGGATGAAATGGACCAAACACACAAAAAGGAGATGCAGCTTTACAACAGCATCTTTGGCTTACTCAGCTTTGAAAAGATTGGCTATACAGGTAATTCTCGGGCTGTGGCTTGCCTGCCAGGGTAGAACCGTGCCGTGACTGACGCCGAGCGTTTTGTGCCGTGCCTTACCCGTTGACCGTCGGTGCCAGTTGCCTCCTCGTGCTCGTTTCGCTTATGCAACGTGCAGCAGCGGTGCCTCCTGCTCGGAAGAGCGGGACGGGGGCTGCCGCGCCAAATGTCTGCTCCAGAGCGCAGGGCTAAGGGTCCCCTCCGTGCGTGTGCGCGTGTCCTTGTCCGTCTCTGCAGTGCTATTGCTCACACGGAGGGTGGGGGAGAGGCGGGGCGGGGGGCGGGGGGTGCAGGGCCCACACACGGCTTCCGGCACCTGGGCGGCCTGGTCAGAGTCTGGTGGGTTCTTTGGCATTCTCCCTCTGGGTGATTAGTCCGCCGAGCAGCCCTGAGGCCGTGTGGAAGCCGGACCCTGCCTAGCTGGAGGTAAGGTGTGCTAGTTGGACTTGGTGGGCCGACAGGCAGCGCCGGAGGCTTAGCATCGCAATGGCTGCCGGGCGTGTCAGCGTGCGTGCGTGTGCGCCTGCCAGCCTTGGGTCCTCTCCACCTTGGGATTCTGGTGTGGCAGCAGCAGCAGCACTTGTTCCTTACAGCTGTACAGAAAAGCCCTTTCTTTGGGGATGAACTATCACGGCATTTTTAGGAGGGGTCTCGCTTTCTTTTCAGTGGGTTGGTTGGTCATGTGGTCGCTATACATGTTCAGAAAGTTTTATTGGGGGAGGGTTCTCGGAACCCCCAGGAGCTTGAAAAACCCATATTTTCCAATGCGGAACATTTTCCTGGTTTTCCGGATCTAGTGCACAAAGCCAGTGTGTGCGTGCGTGTGCGTGTGCCTGTGTGCGCTTTTCCTAAGTGTGGGAACCATAAAGATACTGAGGTGTAATAGGAACAAACGGCCATATAAGCTGATGGAGCTAAGTTGCTTTCGCAGGTAAGCCTCTGACTTCGCTAGACTGGACCCTGGAACGGGCTCCCAAACATGCTCTGCAGAATGGAATGTGTGGAAGCTGCTCTGTAAACTGCTGTGGGATTTCTTGAAGGTGGGAGGAGAGTAGCTGCTGAATTCCCTTTCTTTTCCTGTAAATGTCCGCCTTTCCTACAGAGAGAATCTGCTTGGATTTAATCTGCTGTCTGCTGCCGTAAAAGGGTGGTGAAGCCGCCGCCTCGATCCAGCCTCTGCCGCACCCTGAAACGATGATTGAGTTTGTCTTAGCCAAGTTAGAGAAGGTGCTTAAAGCTAAAAGCCACAGCCAAGCGGAGTCCTGGCAAACTCCGATTGCGAACCGCGGCTACCAGCTGCCCCCCGCCGAGAAGTTCATGGCTCCCCGTGGGCACCCCGTAAAGCAGCTGGAAGTGGGGTGGCAAGGAGTCCAGTCGGACATGCGGACGGTGCCAGACCCCACGGCCATGCGGACACGGCTCAAGAGCCGGGCAGCGCCCTCGCGGCAGCGCTGAGGGCAGGGTGGAGTGGAGTGGAGTGGAGTGGGGGTCAGCCTGCACAGGCGGAAGGCTGGGGCCAGGGTGGTGTCCACCCATCCAGTGTCCTTGAGCACTGCGCAGCCTCTGCCTGTGCGAGAAGAGGGGCGGAGCGTTCCCTCTGCGCTAGGAAGGAGGCGGCCTCTAGCCGGAGAGACACCGAGGGAGCGAAAGCGCTGAGTCGGGCTGATTGTGTGGCTTGAATAACTCCGTCGCCTCCTTTGTCCAGGTGTTGCTGCGGTGCGCTCCTCTGGAAGCACGGAAGAATGCACAAATGCACACAGAGGTTCCCTCTCCCTGAGTTTGTGCTGTGAGATTCCATGGGTTTTGTACACCAAAGACTTTAAAACACTGAGCCAACAATCTTGATAAACTTGAACAAAACAAAACACTTCGTTGCACTGTGGACTCTGCTGGAGAAGGGTTTTAACAGACTGACCCTGGACTGTGCTGAGCGATTGGGTCTAAAATTGGATAGTGCCTCGAACGATTCAGTGTACTGTTCCTTGTCTTTATGTATCTAACCCCAGGATTTTCTGCACTCTTGTGAAAGCCTGAAGGTCTCTTCTTTTCCATCCACCCCACGCCCCGTTCCTTGGTTTGCATTGTGGTGATACATAACTGTGCCTTGCTCATCTAAAGATCTGTATGAATACCAATAAAATAAAGGTGCTGTTACACGAATTGCCTTGTCTGGCTTGCTTTTTCTGTTGGAATGGGCACTTGCAATGAGTCCAGAGCCGACCGCCACTGCCTTCCGTCCTGCATGAGGATATGCCTGCTCTGTGGCCCACCAGTGTCCCAAGAAATCCCAAGCGGACACCTGAAGAGGCCTCCAATGTTCTGTTCTCAAGGGCCTGGCCTTGCAGGTTGAATCTGAATGTCAGAGCTGTGATGTCAGTTGGGGGCCTGCTGAGGAAATGCTCTTTGTGCAGCGTGTGGTTCTGGCGTGTGCGGCTGTCCTGAGGCAAGAAGACCGAAGACGCTGCGACAGTGACCTTTGCCATACCCTCTGGATGAACAAATGTGGGGCAGAAACCCCCCTGCTTTCAGACACAGGCGGCCGCTGGGTGTCGGTCCATGGATCGGTCCCCTTTGCCGCCGCTGCCGTGCGCGTCCACGGCAGAGGCACTGGGCCGCCAGACGTGCGCCTCGCAGTCGCAGCGGTAGCATCCGCTGCTGCTTCTCTCTCTCTCTCTCTGCAGATGCTTACCAATGATGAAACTGTACAGTGGTGTTGACGTGATGACATGCATTGATGTTTTTATCTCCTCTTCTCCTCTTCCCCACTCCCCCTCCCTCCAAGAAGCCACGTTGCTTCTGCCCCCCACTAGCACTGAATGGCCAGTCTCACCCTTGTTGTCTCCTTACGTGCTGGCAAGGAAGGCCCCGCACAGTAGCTGCAGGTAACGTGAGCTTTGTTTTTTCCTGCTAGCAACTCCTCTGGTTTAATTGTTGGCTTTTGTCCTTTCTCCCACCCCCCGACCCCTTCTTGCTGTCTTGCAGAGGTTCAGTTCCGTCCTTACCGAACGGATGACTTCATCACGCGCCTCTACTACGAAACGCCGAGGTTCACGGTGCTGAACCAGACGTGGGTATTGAAAGCCCGGGTCAACGACTCGGAGCGCAACCCCAACCTGTCCTGTAAGCGGACCCTCTCCTTCCAGCTCATCCTCAAGAGCAAGATCAACTCCCCAATGGAGTGCTCATTCCTGCTGCTCAAGGGACCGTACGACGATGTGAAGATCAACCCCGTGATCTATCACTTTGTCTTTACCAACGAGAACAACGAGACAGACTATGTCCCGCTCCCCATCATAGACTCTGTGGAATGTAACAAATTGCTGGCAGCCAAGAACATCAACTTGCGTCTCTTTATATTCCAGATACAGAAGTAAGCATTAAGTGAAGCTTGGCTTTTGCAGGCGTGACCGAGAGAGGGAGAGAGAAGGAGAGAGCACCACTGAACCAGAGTTACCTCGTATGGCTGCCTCGTCCCCCTTATGATTCCACAGTTACCTGATTATTTTAAAGAGAACATTTTGCATGTGTGATAGAAAACAGCTTAGAGCGGCCGTTGCCTTCCTCGTCTCTCTCCATCTCTGCCAGGAATGGGGGACTGGGGAGTCGACTTGAGGCAGGGCACTGGTGGAACCTGAGAGCGGAAAGAGGGCGGGTGGCCACCACCAGTCTCAATACATTGTGAAAAGGCTGCATCTGTGTCATGGTTGTGTGTGATCGCCGCACTGTTGCGTGGAGGCGCCTGGGGGCAGGGTCCTTTGCGTCCCCCTCGCCTCACGGGTGGCAAGCATTGTGCTCTGTCGGGAAGCGGTGGGTCCTGTCCTCCTCGTTACTGGAATGAAAGAAATAGGGGATTCTCAAGCAGGCAAGACGACTTCAAAGGGACCCTGGCAAGGGGATTTTGCTGGGCTGCTGCTAACTAAGCTGAAATGCCACATTCCAAGGGGAGCATGTTCTGGGGAGAGGTGCTTTAAGTCAGGAAAGAGCAGCCGAGCGCCTGACTCTCCCATTTGTGACTCGCGAGTCCAGTTCGTCCCTCCCCCCCGCTCTCTGCTGTGGCTGAGTTGGGGAAGGGCATAGAAGTGTTTGAAACGAAGTCAGGATGGTAGGAAGTGAGTGGCAGCGTCTGGATCCTAAGACCACCCGCACAGTGGCTGGAATTGCCCTTCACAGCGACATAATCCAGAGGTCCCTTTCCGTACTTCCCAGCATTGCCCTGTTGCTCCTCTTCTTTCCGCCCTGCTCCAGAGCAGGCTCGATCCCACGGACCGGGTAAGAACTCGCAGAGAACCAGCTCTCAATCAGTGCAGACTTCTCGGAATGCAGGGTGATGTACTCAGTCTGTTTTGGGGATTTTCCCAGTGCTTTGGTTTTCTTTCCCCTTGTGCAAATGAATTAACAGGCTCTTCTAGTAATTATGCAATTTTACAATGTGATTTTATGTATGTAAAATAAATATATAGCAAGTTTATGGATGAGGATACTGGAGCCGTTCACCAAATTTCAATGAGATCTACAGGGATATTTTGCTTGATGTTCTTAAGCGTATTTTAAAGTAGGGTAGGGGGAGTTGGTGGTGGATGAAGACGAGATGTATCATGAGGAGCTCATGCGTTAATACTGTTGCGTTCAAGATTATTTTCTTTTTCTTCACGTTTCCTGCCCCGCTTTTTTTCAAGGAAGCTACATTTGGTGGCAACTTACATTTTATATGGACTAATTGGATCAGGTATGTTTTGTAAAATGTGTAAAAATCTGTGGCAGGTGCTTTCCTCCCCGGGACTTGTGCTGTTAAAAGGTAGCAAAAGTTTCTGCTGGCAGCTTCCACGCCCCCCCCCCCCCCCCCGGCTTTCCCATCAGTCTTCTGATTATAACAAGAGATGGTCAGCATATTACAGCTTTTGTAGAAACCTGAGTGTGGGTCTGGTGGCCCTGGGGTAGACAGTCCTGTGCAGCTGCGACCCACCAGGCCGCCCCCCAGCCCTGTGATGTGCCCGACACGCCTCTTGGCAGCAGAAGCAACTCTCGGGCTCCAGCCTGGAGGCCTGGCATGCAGGAACGCCTTGGTGCTTCTCTGCGATGCCATTACAGCCGAGAGTCAGCAAGCTGCTTCACAGGCATTGGGATGCTCTCCTGGCTTTGTGGAGGAATGACTTGCACGGCTGTCCTTCCCCCTTCGCAGGTGTAGCACTTGGTTGCAGCAGCTTCTGGATGGAGCTTCTGCCCTCAGTGGGATCTGTGGGTTGGAAAGCTGGGGATGTCCTACACGCAGCTGGTTCCTTGCACATCAGTGATGGCTGACTTGATTAGGGTTTATTATTGGATCAGGGTAGTCAGTGCCCCAACTACGTGCATTTCTAGAACCTCCTGCCCGAAGGTTTCTAATCACAACGGCTCTGAATAACTACCTCTCAGTCTCTCTGAAACCGGCTCCGTGCTGCTTTCATAGGACTTTTTCTAAGAGGCGCTTCCTGAGAACTGGCAGCCTGCAAGAAGGGCCTGCGAAGGACATGCCCTTGCCTGAGATGGACTAGAGCACGAATATACCTGGCTGGAAGCTGCACTGTATTTGAAATCCGGATAGGGTCCCTGGGCTGAAGCACATCCGAGGTGCGTGGGGAAGATCCCACCCTTGCCCGTGACAAAGGGGTGCCTGAGGGTACCCCACGCTCCCTGTCCCACGCGTGAACAGCAGGTCCTCTTGGAAAATTGCACCAGCAGAACATCTCCTGCAGAAGGAGCCAACTTCTGCATCAACGGAAAGGTCTGGGGTGAAACTGTTCCCAAGACCGGCCAGCGTCAGCCGTCCTTTTGAGTAAAAGATCGAGTGGAGGACTTCAGGGGAAGGAAACCAGCCAGCAGGTCTTTCTCTTTCTGTGGCCAGACTCGGGAAGGCAGCAGGAAAAGTCACCTAGTACCAGCTGAAAAAGCAGTCAGCGCTGCTTTGGGGAAAGGCGTCCTGCCGATGCCCCACTGCGAGAGAGGTATCTGGAGCCCTGTGCCACCCTGCCACTGGGCACTCAGTCGTGCAGCCTGTGCACACGAGCATGTTTTGCAGTGGCTCTTGCCACGGATACTGCCGTGGCGTTGAAAACCATCGCCATGGTTAAGGGTAGGTGTTTATTGCCCAGCAGGCGCTGGCGATTTGCATGGTCCTGTCTTCATGCTGAGGCGGTTTCTTGAGCTTAAGAGACGCTGGCACTGCTGCCGGCAGGCCTGTAGGCCCCTATTAAGAAGATGGAAGCAAGGAGGGGACGTGGGAGGAAAAGATGACAGATGAGCAGCTAAGAGCCTTCCCCAAAAGCTGGAGAATCTGGAAAAATACCAATGGAAAAAGGGGTTCATGGCACCTATTTTGGCTGTGCAAAGGAAATACGGAGTGTTCTTTGGGTTTCAAAACACGGTGCATGAGAATGGAGCTCCTCCTCCCTTTATCTTAGGATTCTAGTGGAGAACACCAGTCAGTATTTCAAAAGCACTTGGTTCTAAGGACTGGGCAGAGTCGTTCATGGAGATGCCAGTGTGTGCAGGCTTTCTTTTGGCCGGGTCATGCGAAGGGTTGGGAAAGTGAATTGCTCGGCAGCAACCTGGCCAAGTCCGTAGTTGTGGGTGGGCACCCCGAAGGAGGCGCGCAGCTGTAGCCCTGGCGAGCCAGCGCAGAAGTGTGCCCAACGGCTTCGTCCAAGAGCGCGAGCCAGTGCAGAAGTGTGCCCAACGGCTTCGTCCAAGAGCGCTTAAACCAGAACCTTAAACCAGCGCTTAAACCAGAACGGCTTAAACCAGAACCTCCTGCACATCTGGCAGGAGACGTGGTTGGCGGCGGGTGCTGAGCGCGGACCGTGTTGTGCAGCGGCTTTCAGAGCGGTGCAATTGCACCTGGACGCCCGACACCACGCTGAGGCCTCCTGGCCAGTGGGCACATTTTCAGACAGGGAGGTAACGTCGTGTAGGTTTTCCCATCCAGACACCATTGGATTATATGTCTCTGCGATACATCTCGCCCTCGGCTTCCAAAAACAAGCCTGCAGCCACCTAAGTTCCCGCCTGCTTGATTTCTTTGCAGGCAGCTTTGGTGGCTGATGATCGCAGCACAGCCAGGGTGTCTCTTGTCAAGAACTAGCTTGGAAGCGATGAATCGGGGCAGTTTGCAGTCTGACTTCCTTTCTTTCTGTGCATGAAAGGAAGAAGACTTCCATGTGTTGTTGTCGGGCTCAGAGACAGGACTGAATTTCTTGGAAAACTCCTAACTCTCCAGGGCCAGTGTGTGTGGGAGACCTAACGGCAGTGGCAAATGGGGTGGACTGTTCCTGCCCCACGCGGCTGACCCTTAGGGCCGATCTGAGTGTGCCAGTGCTTAGCACCCTCAAGGCCAAGCCCCCGTGAAGTTGCCCACAGGACTCTGCCCAGTTCTGGTGCTGCAGGCCTGAAGAGAAGGCTGGGAGCGCTCACACAGTGGCAGGTGACACCTGGGAAGGTGAGCACAGGCACCGCCCGGGGGCGACCACGCAACAGCAGCCGAGGAGGACTTGCTGCTTCTTGCCGGGAGCCGCCTGGGTGACGGGGCTGCCGTGGGCACACCTGCTGGCTGGCCGGGCTCACCACTGCCAGCACCGTTGCTTCCCTGCTTCCCTCCTCGTTCTTCCTCCGCACCACCTCCCTCTCATGGGCTGCCCTGTCCTCACCACGGGACTCTGTCCGATGTCTACTCGGTAGCTGAGCCTTACCTGTCCAGCCCTGTGCTGGACACCTGAAGATTGTAGCATGCTTCTTCATGCCGGGACCTGATGGGCTGGCAGACCACAAACCTCCTTGCAGTATTCACTGTGGGTAATTTATTTAACTAGCGAATGTAGAGTTTAAAATAATTTTAAGAAGCTAATGGGTTGTTTGCAAGGTTGTATGTCCTTTGTACTTGGCCTGATTTCCATTATTTGTGTTCCTGTTACTTTTTCGTTGTTGTGGAGAGAGGGGTTCCCCGTTGGACCTGGGCGCCAGCGGACGGAGGAGCGAGCAGGGAGGGGCTGGGTGCCAGTCGCCAGGATCTCTCATCCGGTGGGGCTGCTGCCTGTGCCGCCACCCCCACAGCCTGGCCAGGGAGACGTGGGGCGGCAGCAGCAGCAGCGCGTGCGTCCGCAGGGCGGCAGCCGCTGCTCCTGCCCCACAGGGCGTCTTCCCCGTTATCGTGAGCACTGCGCATATACCTAAATGGCTTTTCAAATGAGGAATGGTTTTAATGTCGTCGGGAATGATTTCTTTTGTTCTGTTGTGGTCTGCGTTTGTTTGAAGTTTCTGTATGTAACGTAGTTTAAAAAAATATTGCCAAACTATGCTGTCTCTGTGTGTGTGTGACTGACCCAAGCGCAGCTTCTTTGTGGAGCGCAGCCGAGCGCAAGCCGAGCAGTGACCCTGGCCCTCCGGCAGGCTTGGCGGGGCTCCTTCGCGCACCGCGGCGGCGCAGACACTAAGCTCGGGCGCAGAACCATCTTCTGGGAAAACTCATTGGTTTGGTGGCGGGGGGCGTTTCTTAGAGCAGTGCTAAAAACAAGACCCTGGTGCTGGGAACGATCGGCGGCAAACGGAGAAGGGGGCGGCAGAGGACGAGGCGGCTGGAGGGGGTCACGGGGGCGGTGGGTGTGGGCTTGGGTGGACCCCGAGGGACGGTGGAGGACAGGAGGGCCTGGAGGAAGGTTGTCCATGGGGTCGCGATGGCTCAGAATGTGGGGACGGAATAAGGCTGTGACAGCCATGGCTGCTCGTTCTTTGCTTCCTTCTCACGTCCCCTTTCTCTCACCCCGAACATTTTATCTGTGTGTGTTGATGTTTAAACCTGAAAGTAGGTAGCTGGCAGATTTGTTAGATGTGCCTCTGCCTTTCATTAAAATAGGTTCAGCAGTGGACCCACAGCAGAAAAGGCCTGGCTCCCCACCCCGGCACCATTTATACGAGCCTCTGCCAAGAGCCATGTGACAAGCCAGCTAGGCCGGAACTAATCCCTGTGCAAGTGCCACAGGGCCCAGTCCTTCGCCGGAAGGGCAGTGGCTGCCGGATGTGATGCAGCTCACGGAGCGCCTTCCTGGCCCCCCCTGCCACCACCTGGGCAGCCAGCAGGCCTTGGGTATGTGGCATATCGGGGGAGGGGGCTGGTAGCGGGTTCCCCCACGGGCCACTTGCACCAATGGTGACAAGCCAGTCCCTTCTTTCAGAGGAGCCAGGACTGTGGATGAGCGCTACCTAATCTTTGGCAGTCAGACTTTCCCCTTGCTGTGGCTGAAGGATTTGGCTGTGGCTTGGGCTGTGTTATGCTTTGCCACTGTAGGTCAGGTCTAGTGGCCCACTTAACGGGGGTTCCTTCCCAGACTTCCCTTCCCAGTGGAAAGGGCTGAAAAAATTCTGGCCAAGTTGCAAAAATAAAACAGCGGTTTGTGTGCACCAAGCCTCCTCAACAGGTAAAGGCGATGGGAGGTGGTGGTTTGAAGCGCTGGAAGCCAGACCATCGTTCCTGCAGCTGCACCGCTTCCCACCCTGCTGGCCACGCAGAGGGGCCCATGAGGGGACTGCGTGTGGCTCGCAACTATGCTGCATTCTTGCCCGGGAAGCGCCAGCGCCGGCTGCCGTTTCATTCTTGCTCTAGATTCACTCTTTATCAAAGCGGTACTGCTTCGTCAGTCTGTGGCTTTCTGGCCACGGGGAAATTCTTGTGTCTTCAAGAGCTGCCACAGATTGAGAATTCTTCCCTAGAACCCTATAAAGCCCTATAGGGAAACCCTATAAAAGCCAGTGTGGGGCTGGACTCTGGAGGGATGGTCGAGCTCTTTCCTGCACTGAGCCGGGGGGCTGGCTCCGAAGGCTTTCTGGCCCCTTCCAACTTGTATGAGCCTGCAATTCTGCGATCTGGGTTCTCGTCCCCACTCAGCCATGGGGGCAGCTGGTGCCTTTGGGCCAGTCAGACCCTCAGCCCAGTGTACCCCTCGGGGTCCTTGTGGGGATAAGATTGAGAGCAGCAGGAGGAGACTAATAAGTCACTCTGAGGTCTTAAAAAAGCAGGATATACCTCTAATATACAAATAGCTGCCTAGGAAGGCCTCGGCAGTTATTGGTGGCATATAAATACATGTATAAATAAATAAATATAAAAAACAGGTACTGAACACAGTGCCACTGGTCAGCCATGGGTAGAATTGGGGGCCCTTTTCTTGCGTAGTCTTTTGTCTGCATTGTATACCTTTGCAAGATGTCACGTTTGGCTCAGTGGCAGCTGCCTCTGTAGTTGTGCCGCCAAGAAGACCATGAGCTTGATCCACCCAGCCTCCCATCTGTCCTGGCATAAGGAAGCTGGAACAGTCCACCCGCCGGGAACTCCCTGGTTTGAATCTTACCACTACTATGAATTCGGCCACTGATGGAGCCATTTGTTTTAACACATCTGTACTGCCTACTAGTCCAAAGCTCTCTCGGGGTCTGAATTTTCGTGAGTCACCCAACAGACAGTATGATCAAAGCATTAAAAATTTTAAAATTGTAAGAGTTTTAAAAAGGAGCAAGCCACTGTCTTAGCCTTGGCATTCTGTTTGTGGTGGGGGATAACGCTAATACAGGATATACAGTGTATATTTTCCAGTGGCCCAGCCAACAGAACGGTGCCCTGTTTCAGCTGTTCACCAACTGACTAGTCCTGCCCCCAGGGATGCTGAAAGGGAACTCCTAGCGTGGGGGAAAGAAGGCACAATTAAGGTTCCTGATTTATGGGGAAGGCAGAAGGCTACCTTCTTTGCAGACTCATTTCCTTTTGCCCTTTAATGGGATTGCAGCTTCCTACATGCTGTTCAGACATTTCCTGCTGCCCCTGAGCAGTGTCCAGTGGAATTCAGACGAAGAAAGGCTTCGGTTTAAAAGGTGGCCGCCCCTTGGTGTGCTGGCCCTTGCGCTCTTGCTCCGGGCAAATGTTATAATCCCTTTGCTGCCCATCCTTATCCTCTGAAGATCTGTGTTCCTTGGATATCTATTTCAGGTACACAGGCAAGCTATAAACAAAACTAGGGAGCTGGTGTACCTTCCTCAGAAGGAAGCATTTGCAGCTGTTTTTATCCGATGTTGTTTAACTTCTGTTCTGCCCAATAGCGGGAGCTCTCCGAGCAGGTGACAACAGTATTTGGAGAGAGGCCACGCAAAGGCCAGTCTGTAAGAACGGACAAAGAGGCCTGCGCTCAGCCCAAGGTCCCTCTGGTCCAGCATTCAGTGCCACCAAGGCCAGCCTGGGCAAGAGTGGGATAGCAGCGCCACAGCGCCCTTCTCCCCATGTTCCCCAATGAGCGACGTATCGCCTCTTAAAATTTCCTGGCAGTCCACCCACTGAATGCCGCTTATGCATGGTGTGCACTTTCTTGAAATCCAAGGGAAGGAGAGTCTGGATGTTTTTTACATTGTGGCACAGTCGATTACAAACGAGTTACCCTGGCGACAGCTCGCTGTACCACGTGCAGTTGCCGGGGGAAGGAAAACATCCGAGTTCGGGAGGAAATGGAAGAACGAGGCAGTGCTCGTTACCTTAGAAGTTCGGTGCATGAAAAATAATTGCAACGACCATTTACAGAGAGGTGTTGGCAACATCCGAGCATTAGTAAATTAATATTAACACTCCTTAACGGTTTGCTAAAAGGCTGCGCTCGCGAGGCAGCCACAGGGGCTGGAATCGAACTTCTCGGTAAGTGAATCCAGTTTCACTCCGGATTACCTTGTCCTTGAGCAGCTAGGCTGCAATCCATGGCGGGAGCGTCTGTTGCACAAGCTGAAAGGCATTGCCTGCCACGAACTGGCCCGGATGGCTTCGGAGGAGAAGCCCGACAAACCCGAAAGGCCGAGATCCCTGCAGGGATCCCGCGAGACGCGTCGGACTACAACTCCCAGCACGCTCCCCTGTTGAGCGGCAGCCGGGAATGGTCGGAGAGCGCCGCTGGGGGAAGGCGGGAGTGAGAGTGCGTCCGCCGACGTGGTTGGCGCACAGCTCCCATGAGCCCCAGTGGTGAGGCATCGTGGGAGTTGTAGTCCAAGGACCTCACGAAAAGCCGCCGCGCGGCTCCTGCCTTCTCGCGCCAGGTAGGCTGCCTAGGGGGCGTGGCCGAGCAGGCAGCGGTGACTCGCGCGATTGGGCGGCCGCCAGCCAATGAGAGCGCGCCGGGCCTTGGCCAATGGGCGGCGAGCGCGGCGTCGCCGGGCGGCCAATGGCTTGGCGCCGGGCGCGCGGGAGTAGGACGGCGCGGAAGGCGCGCGGGGCAAGATGGGCGGCGGACGGGAGCGCGAGATTCGCCGTGAGTGGCTCGGGGGGGGGGGCGGCTGGGGACGATGGGCGCTGGAGTCCAGGCGCCCGGGCAGCGGGGCTTGCTCGGGGCTGGAGCGGGGAATTGGCCGGGGCGGGAAGCCTCCCGGCGCCCCCGCGGCCCGCCCCGAGCCTCGATGGAGGGCAGTGCGGGGCCGGAGCCCCTCCGCCGCGACGTTCCCGGAGGCGCCGGCCCTCCCCCGGCGACCGCGGTGGGTCCCCGGCGCTCTCGTGGCGCCTTCGTGCGTGGGGCGCCGCCGGCTCCCGCTCGCCTTCTTGCCCCTCGCGTGCCCCCCTCCTCCTGTGCCGGTTTTCCCCGCGCGGCAGCGGAAGAGGCTCGCACAGCCCTCCTCCTCCGCTGCATCCTCACAACATCCCTGTGAGGTAGGTCAGGCGGAGCCGGCGGCTGGATCGAAGCCGCCCAGGAATCAGGCGAGCTGCGGCCAGCCCGGCGACTCGCACGGCTCCCGCCGGACTCTTGCAGCGACTTCCCGCAAGGGATCCCTTGGGGTGGCCTGGATTCATACTATGGGCGCATTTTGCTGGGGGAGAGCAAAGGCGTGCAATGGCTCTGCTGTCCCCGTGGCCCTCTTAGCGAACGCGCCTTGGCTGAGTTTTGCTGGGCCCATTTTTATTTATTTATTTAGTAAACATATTCCTCCCCATTCGCCAAAGCCTTGGGGCGGCTTACAAACATAAATATCACCAATACGAATTAAATATAAAATTGGAGACATCCTGGCCAAAGTTATTAAAATCAATAAGTAATATCAACAACTAAAATGACGTTTAAATAAAAAGGTCTTGGTCTGGTGCCAAAAAGCAAATAACGACGGTGTCAATTTTGCAGCTTAGTGGCAGTAGCCGCCTCTTGTGTGGCCAGATCCTTACTCTTTTTCTGAGATCTGAGATCCTTACTCTTTTCCTGAGATCCATAATCTTTTTCTGAGTTTTCTGAGATCCAGTCCTTGCTGTCTGCCAGCCAGTTCTTTCCCACAGTGGGAAAGGCGGGGGCTGCCTAGGAAGAAAGACCAACCTGTGACACACTCTTCCTTGTGTCTTATTGCGGAGACAATTTTAGATACGGTTTTAAATGACCGCCATGCAGGACTGTTGTCCAAAGGTTGTTGGCTGTTATACTGGTTGTTTTGTACTATTTATGAATATGTTGTTTATACTGTTCTTACAAGGATTTTATATCCGGTGTTTTTACGATTTCAATAATTGTAAATTTTCCAGAGAGCCCATGGCCTATGGAGTGGTATACAAATGCAATAAATAAATAAAAAGGGTGTTGAGGCAAGTTTGTGCTTGTTCAAAAAGGAGCAGCTGTTTGGGGCATACTTGCTTTCCAGCCCAGCAGGTGAGACAAATATTTCTTTTCCTCCTGTCCATTAGAGCTTCAGAAGGGCAAGGAGAAAGCCCGACGGAAGGGCGACCTGAAGGAGGAAGCCGCCCTCTGTAATCAGCTGGGGGGCCTCTTGGCTCGCCATGGTAAGCATTATCCGGAGGGATGATCTAAAGGCTTGCAAAGCTACTTCCCGTTCAGGTTCTTGAGACTGAAGGATCTTGCAGGTTGAGTTCCTTTGAATGGCGCCACGGGAGCACTCCTGCATGGTGAAATGCAGCCGACATCCAGCTCCCTTCTGACGCTATACAGTGGTGGCCTGTTGTGGCCAGCTGGTGTGTCGTATTGTTTTAGCAAAAACTAGGATGGGGCCGAGTAGGGAGCTGCTCACCCCTTTCCTTGCTGCCATTTCCCCCACATCTCCCTCGGCATGTGAGCTGCTTTCCTCTGCCCTCCTCCTGATGGCTGCCTCTGATGCGGCTGCGCATTTGGAGGCTGTTACATGCACTTACATTGGCCCTCAATTCTCACTGTACACGTCTGGAGAAAGTGGGGCTCCTCACAGGCATCCACAGGGATCTAACTGAGACTTAAACCCAGCTCAGTGGCCCACGTACAAAGCGTGGGTTCCACGGGTAAGTTATTGCCTGCACTGCAGTCCCTCCCTTTGGTTGCCTCCTGAGGCAAGAGCAGGACAAGGGCTCCCTGACCTGGGTGTGTTTGGAGCAATGGTGGTGCTTCTGGCTGGTGTGCGTGTGCCATCTTCCCACTGCCCTCACCTTGGTGCAGCGCGCCCAGCGTATCCCTGTGGATGCAGTACTGCCTTTCCATGCCGTGAGAGGTCTGCAGCTGACCCCTTTTGCTCGACAGGGCGGTTCCAGGAGGCTCTGCAGGAGCATCGGCAGGAGCTGCATCTCCTGGAAAGCGCTGACGATGTCATCGGCTGTGCCGTCGCGCACCGGAAAATTGGGGAGTGTTTGGCTGAGCTGGAGAGCTATGAAGCAGCACTGAAGGTAGGCGCTGTGGCCAGAGGAGGTGAGAACTTGACTCCTCCAGCCAGCAGGAGCTTCGGATGTAGGCTCTTCCTGGAGATTACAACTTGGCCTGACACCTTGAATGGTTTATAGATAAGAGGTGTACCTCTCTCTTGCCCTGATCTCCAGAAAGATCAACAGGCAAACAGTCTCTAGAGGAGCTGCGTGCTTGCTTGTGTATCTCCACCTCTGGGGCTGCCTCCATCTTGCCCCTGAGTCTTCTGGAGAAGTTCTGATTTTAAAACTGGACACGCCTTTGGGCCTGTGGATAGGCAGCGCTGCATCTTGCCCGGGTGCTGCAAAGGGCTACGTGTGTGTAGCCTCTTAGATTTGTGGGCGATTTATAAGCAGACATGGACCACCGAAAGCCCTTATGCGAAGGGGTAGCTTATATCTTTACAGCAACCCCACGTGCTGTTCCAGCTGCTTGTACTAATGGTGCACAAGCTGCATCTGTCAGTGCTTCCAGTGGGTTGTGCGATGGTTGTGACAGATGCGCGTCCTCTCAAGCCTAATTTACAGCCTGGATGTACACATTTCCCTTAACTCCAGAATATGGGGTGGCATCCAAATGCGATGGATGGATAAATAAAATTATATTTCTCAGCCCGTAAAATGCTTTCTAGTGAGTATGCTTGTTCTTTTTGAATTAGTAGAGTAGGAAGTATGATGTGGGAACCCTATAAACTTGGCGACTTAGTAGAATTAAACTCGAATCTCCCAAGGCCAAACACTTTACACAAAATACGTAGAGAATTCCTTGTGGATTCTGTGGATTCTCTTGGTAGAAGACTTGTCTTCTCCTGGAGGGTGGAAACCTGAGCCTCTGTGTTGCTGCCCGGCTGCAGCAGCGAACTGGATGAGGCTCTGTCCATGCGGGACTGAAATGCCGTGAGCGGGTGCTGCGTCTGGCCAGAGGAGGATGCTCTACCTCTTCCGGGCAGCGTTGCAACTCTCCCTGAAGGAGCAGCGCCGCAGCGTGGCTGTCCTGCTGGAGCCATCGTTGCCACTTGAAGCTCACGTGGTTTCAGTGACGCAGGGCGCCTTCTGCCAGCGGCAGTCGGTGGCCCAGCTGCACCCCGTCTGAGCAGGGGTCGGCTGACTTCCGTCATCTGTGCTCTGGTAACGTCCAGATTGCAGCGTTTTGCATGAGGCTCCTGGGGGTGGTTCAGGGGCTGCGGCGTGCAGAATGCGGCAGCCGGATTGGTTGCGGGGGCCCGGAGGCCTGGACACAACCCGCCGGTTCCTGCTCACTGGCACATGCGGCCGGGTGCTGGTCTTGTCCTGGCACGGCCCATAAGCGCATTTCCAAGGATGAGCCTTCCCTCGCTTACCACCTGCGGCCCTCCTCCAGAAGGGAGGCTCCGAGGGTGGCCATACGGGCTCGGGTCTCCAGGAGCGGTCCCCAGATGGTGGGATGCTCTCCCCAGGGGGGCCTGCCAGTTGGGCAGTGCCAGGCGAAGACTTAATTCATTTAATATTTTGCCATGGGCCTTTGTCATGGATCTTGGGATTACCGTTGGTTAAAATCCTCACTTTTAGTAGGCTGGATTTATACTGTGTTATTTTTTACTAGATTATACTACGGCCCGTGTTTTAGATTGCATTTTTAGGACTTTATGTGACTGTCCAAAAGCAAAAATGTCAGTATTTAGACTATTGTCATACCTGGGGAAAGGAAAAAGCTCCTTGGAGAAGAGAACCATGTGAGGGCAGGTTGAAGGCAGGAGAGGAAGGAAAGGAGGACTAAATGGGAGATGGAGTGACTCCGATAGGGAAGCCACTTGCAGGAACTGGGCAGGGCTGTCACGGACCGGACAGCTCAGAGAGCTTTCTTGCACACGGTTGCCGTGAAGTGGAGTGGACGGCACAGAACAGCAGCAGCCGCGCAGAGAGATTTGGTTGCTGGCAGCATAGGGAGGGATTCAGGCAGCGCTCCAGTGGGGCCGCGGGCATGCTGGGGTGCTGCCCAAGTGGGAGGCCAGCCCGTGATGCTTCTCTCTGTGCTTCTGCGTGGGCAGCACCAGCGCCGTCACCTGGAACTGGCCTGCTCCCTCTCCAGCCATGTTGAGCAGCAGCGAGCCTGGGCCACCATCGGCCGTACCTACATGTTCATGGCTGAAAGCGAGCCCGCGAGCGAGGCCCTTCGGGAAGCGGAGAACGCCTTCATGAGGAGCCTGGCTGTGTTGGAGGAGAAGCTGCAAGGTACCACTGCACCGTGCGATGAAGGTGGCCCCTGCCCCGTGCCGTGGGTGCACCCAGGTCCAGGACCACCAGGCGAGGGGGCTCGCTGCCAGACTCGGGGGGCAGCTGATGGGGAAGCACGGGCTTCCGTGCATGCAGAGCAAAGGCCGGGCAAACACGTCAGAGCGTGTTGAGGTTCTTCTAAGGGCTCCTTGCAGCTTGTTTCTTGAACGTTGGCCTGCATGCGTCCCATTTGAAGGGGGAAAGGACATTTTTCAAAATGTGCAGTTTGTCCTGACCGAAAGGCTCATTCCTCCAGCCCCAGCTAAAACCTGGACTTGGAGATTTGGCAGTGTAATTTGCACATCTCCTGAAGCACGTGCTTTTGAATGGAGATGCATTTTCGGAAATTGCACAGAGAAATACTGGAGAAAAGTAACCCTGCGGCAGCTCGCATTTGGAATGCAGACAGGACGCGTCCAAACGATTTGAACAGGAACAGCCTTTCTGTACATTTTCAGTTTGGAAGGAAGATTTGGAAGTGTTCAAACGGGCTAGAGCCAGGAGCGTTGTCCTGGAATGCCGGCAGTCCTCTGTGCCTGCTGGGCACCAGAACGCTTGCTTTCCTGTGTCAGGACCAGTGGGGCCCGTCTGGGTCGCAGGCGTGGGTCTCTGGGGGAGGGCGGCCTGCAGCCTGTCTTGCTTCTCGCAGGGGAAGTCCCCCAGCGGGAGGTGAGTGAGATGACGGCGCGACTCTACCTGAACCTTGGCTTGGTCTATGACAGCCTGAAGAATCCGGCCAAGTACACGTACTACATCAAGAAGAGCATTTACATCTCCGAGTAAGGACCTCCGCCTCTCCTGGGGCAAGCCCGCGTGCCAAGATTTCCCAAATTAACCTCGCTGGCTGAGGGAGCTGCAGGCCGGCAGATAGGGAGGGCAGCAGCCCGAGGAGGGCCCTGGGCTGTTGGCCTCTTCTTCGTGGCAGGGGCTCCCCTGGCCCTGTCGCTCGTCGCGGGGCGAGCTCCTCGGGCCGGGCAGCAGCGGAGGCTCAGCTCTGGCAGCCGCCTCGTCAGGGTCTGGGCAGCCTCCGCCCCCAGAGAGCAGAGGCGCCACTCCTCTGGGTGTTCGGGCCTGCGGTGGAGGAAGTGGTGCTTGGTGTGGGTTTGCTCCCGGGCGCCCCTTGGGGTGGGGAGTTGGGGAGTGAGCGTGGCTGGGGGGCGGGGAAGCCTTGGGCACCTGCCTGGTGGCCCGGGCTGCCCCTCTCCCCTCCCCAGGCAGGCTCAGCTGCACGAGGACCTCTACCGCGCCTACTTCAACCTGGGCAACATCCACCTCCGGGAGGGCGAGCATTCCAAGGCCATGCGCTGCCTGGAGCGGGCGCGCGAGTGCGCCTGCAAGATGAGCGAGAAGTGCATGGAGAGCGAGTGCTGCGCGGGCATCGCCCAGGTGAGAAGGCGGGGGGGCCCACGCGGCTGTGCCGGGGGCACGGGGGCCCTGCGGCCGGTTGCTCTGTGCGGGGTGGGCCAGGTTCAGCCCTCTGGGCCGCAGTCCAGCTCTCGGGGGCCTTTCCCGGGCCCCACTCCCTTCCCCCGGCCACCAGCCTTCTAGTGTCCTTGCTTTCGGAGTTACTTTCCCATCCTAAGAGCTCATTATGTCCGCAATCACGGCTCGCCCTTGTTGCCAGTCCTTGTTGCTGTGAGATAAGGTATGTGCGCCCACCCGCGCATGCCGACGTGCGCATGCCAGCAGTGTCCCCTGCGGGTAAATAGGAGTCCTGGTGGTGGTTGAAGCGATCGTGGGCCGTGCTGGCTGTGGGCGGCGGGAGCGGTAGTCCGGCTCCGGGGTTGGCATGCTGGATTATGGCAACCAGGTCTGCTGCCCAGCTGCGCTGGGGCAGAGGGGCTTCGATGCCTTGCTGGCAAGTGTGTTTTCTGCTCCTAGTGTTAGCTGGAAAGCCCTTCCTCCGCTGAAGACGACCCCTGGCCTTGCTTTCCTGCCCCGTGTTCCTAGGCCTCTGGCTTCCTTCCTTACCAGCCTTCATTTGCCCCATCACCGTGCTCTCCGTCTCCTCCGGGGATCATCCTCAGGGGGGCTCAGGGCCCCCCTCAGCTGCTCTGGAGGCCTGACCTGTGCTCTGCCTGTCTCCGAAGGTGCTGCTGAGCCTGGGGGACTTTACGGCAGCCAAGCGGGCTCTGAAGAAGGCCTACCGGTTGGGCTCCCAGCAGCCGCAGCAGCGGGAAAGCATCTGCCGCAGCCTGCGCTACGGTGAGTGGGGGGCTCCTCTCGCCCCGCCGTGGGGCCCCCCGAGGGCCGAGGCGCCCTGCCTGAGCGCGCTCATGGGATGCGTCCTTCCTGGCAGCCTCGAAGGTGAGCAGCCTGCAGCAGGCCCTGGAAGAGGCAGAAGCATCCGGCCAACAGCGAGCCGCCCTGGGCCTCTGTGAGCAACTGGGGGACCTTTTCTCCAAGGCGGGGGACTATCCACGGGCTGTGGAAGCCTACGAGAAGCAGGTGAGGGGGGCTGCCCGTCCTGCCGCTGAGGCTTGCCTCGGGAGGGGGCTTCACTGGACTGAGAAGGCGTGGAAGCGAAGTGGGGGCCTGCGGAGCCTTCCCGGGGAGGCAGGGGCAGGTGGAGGGGGGGCTTGCAAAGGCTCTGCTGCTTCAGGAGAGTTGCCACTGGTTCCCTCTTTCGATGCCCCCCAGAGGGCAACTGGTGGCTCGGCATGTCCGGTGGGTCACAGGGATGAGGCTGCCAGGGGTTGGGCCTCAGTGCCATGAGGGAGGTCTTTGGACAGGCGGACGAGCCTCGTGGGCTGTCGAGCCCTCTCTGTCTCCTCCCGCCTCCCTCAGCGGGTGCCTTCCAGATGTGTTGGACTGTGCGCAGCACATGGTCCAGCACGTCCAGAAGGCACCAGCTTGCGCGAGGCCTGCTCCTTGGGCAGGGGCTTCCCAAGATCCTGGGCCCGGGGCCTTTCCGTGGCGCACTCGCGGGAGTCGTGTGACCGGCCCCAGAGCCCTTGCTGGCACGGCGGGGGCTTTGCCGCTCTGCCCGCCCCTCCCTCCCTCCCTCCCTCAGCAGGAGGTGCTCTGAGCTTCCCTGAGGAAGAGCGTGTGTGGCACCTTGTGCCTGGGATTCCTTCTCCAGGGGTGCCGGAACTTTCCTAGCCGAGGAGGAGAGGGCAGGGGTTGGGAGAATGTGCAGCTCTGCGCAAGGAGTCGGGCAGGCCGGGGACTGGGTGGCAGATGCGCTGCCGTGTCCTGGGGGCAGCCCCCGGGGGGCAAGGGCAGGCTTTGCGATGGAGACTTCAGCAGGGCAGTGCCCTCGGTGGCTGCTCGTTGCCCGTGCTTTAGGGAAAACACGAGCGGGAAAGGCAAGCGGGAAGAAGCAGACTCCGTCCCGCACGGAGAAAGCGCGACTCTGGCTGCCTTGGTGCAGCCGGGCCGAGAGCAGGCCTCCGAGTGCAGGCGGGAGGGGAGGGGCAATGCCGGGGCGGCTGAAGGGGTGAGGGGGTGCGTGGCCGGCGCCCCTTGCCGCCGGGGGGCTTGGCCGTGGCTGCTCGTGGCCGGCCTTGGACACCCGGCCTGTGTTCCAGCTGAGCCACGCCCAGGCTTTAAAGCGCCCGGAGCAGGAGCTGGCCGTCATTCACGTTTCCTTGGCTGCCACATTTGGGGACCTGAAGGACCACGCACGGGCCGTGGAGCACTACAGGGCAGAGTTGGCCCTGCGGCAGGGGAACCCTCTGGAGGTAAGAGGTGGCGCGGTCGTGCCGAGGACTTGCGCTGACCGGGAGCCCCCACTGCATAGCCCCCGTTCCCAAACCCAGCAGACCCGCACACGGGGCCGGCGTGGGGCAGGCGGGAAAGGGGAGCTGGGGAGCTGCTGAGTCTCGCCTCTTCCTTCCGCGGTCAGAGGGGGAAGACGTGGCTGAACATCGCCCTGGCCAAGGAGGAGAGCAGAGAGAGCTACGAGGAGCTGAAGCCGTGCTTTGAAAGTGCTCTGCAGTGCGCAGAGCAGGCCAGTGACCCCAGGCTGCAGGTGAGCGCGGGAGGAGAGGCTTGGGCAGAGAAGGGGAAGAGGGAGCAGGGCCTCCGACAGAGTCCTGCCCTTTCCTCTGCCGCAGACGCCGGCACCCAGGCCTCGGTGTCTCCTCGTGTTCTCCCTCCCCCGCTCCCTGCCCTTACGAGAAGGCTGGAGGTCTCTGAGGGACGGAGGGAGTGGGGGGGGGGGGATCCACCGCAGGCGTGCCTGGGCAGGCATTTGGGCAGGGTTCCCGCCACAACTTCCTCAGCTAGAGGAGCCGCCACAGTTACGTGTAAGCAAGTGGTTCTTATAAAAATGTGCACATCTTGTCAGAAGTTCGGGCCTTAAACTCTGTTTGTTTGCGTTCGTGTCAACATATGTTTTGCAAAGGGTTTGTGTTTTATTTAATTGATTCCTTCATTTAAATGAAGAAATTGGAAGGAAGCACAAGCTTGCACAAGGGGAATGGAAACAGGAAAAGATTCTGAGGAGCCTACTGCTAACAGCATCAAGGCCAACATTTAAAAATTCTTTAAACTTATCAGAAACAAATCAGCTAGAGGGGTAGTTGGACCATTGGAAGGTAGTAGAGTTAAAGGAGCACTAAAGGAGGAGACGGAGATTGTGGAAGGAAGCGCTCTGCACCGCACGTAGTGCACGGGAGGCAGCGATGGCCGCCAGTCTGGGGGGCTTTAAGAGGGAATTGGCCAAGTTCGTGGAGGAGGCGGAGGCCCTCGCCATCAATGGCTGCTTGTCACCTGCGGTATCGGGGCAGTGCCTGCGTGCGCCAGTTGCTCGGGAGCCTGGGCGGGACGGGGCTGCGCTACCAGGCGCGCCTGGGGTGCTCCTGCGGGAGCTGGCCTGCTGCCGGGCGAAGGGGACGCTGGGCTGGTCCGGCAGCGCTTGCCTTGCGTTCGGATCCCACCCCTTTGGCTCCCGCAAGAGGCCCTAAGGCAGCGTACGTATTCTCCCCCTTTATCCTCCCAGCAACCACCCAGTGAGGGCCGCTCTGAGGGGGAGTGACCATGGCTGAGTGGGGACGAGGACCCCAGTCTCCTGGGCGCAGTCCTCTCGCCGCTGCACCTCTCTGGCCCTCACAGATTTAGTTCCTCTGGGCAAGAGCTAAGGCAGCTTTCTTGCCCCGAAGTCTGAAGAGCCTGCAGCTCCCTTTGAAGGCACTGGAGGCATTCAGAAAGAAGCTGGGCAGCCCTCTGAGTGGGATGGTGTGACGTGGTGTCCTGCAAGGGCAGGGGGTGGACTCGATGGCCTTCGGGGCCCCTTCCAGCTCTGCTATCCTATGATTCTACGAAAATCAGGAACGGGCTGGGACGAGAAGTTGGGATACCCCCTGAAACCCCGATTCTGCATTTCTCAGCGTCAGATCCTGCAGCACCTCCACGCCTCTCAGCAGCGATGCGAGTGCCCCGAGGCAGCCGACACGCTCGTCCGGCTGCAGGACCTCTGCCGCGCCCAGGGCTGGCGTTCGGATGGGGAGGCCAGCGAGGACGAGGACTGGCAGGACAGCGAGCCCGTGGAGGCGAGTGAGCTGGAGCTCTCCAGCAGCGGTGAGCATCGGGGGGCTGGCGGGCGGGACCTGGCTGCCAAAAACACGAGCGTTTAAAAAAATACATCTGGAGTCACCCTTTCACCCAGCTGGTTAAAACTTGCAACCCTTTAAAAGCCAACCTTTAATTAAAATGTTAATTTACAAGGTTTAAAGACACACTGCAAATGTTAGAAGAGTAGCACAGCAGGAATTGGAGCAGAAGAAAATAATACAAGCTGAATGTCGAGCTAAGAGGCTTAAGGGCACAATCTTTTGTGAGTTTAGGGCGGGGGAAACTCATGTTGGCAAGTTATTTTCTGTCTGAACTGGCATAAGATTGTGCCCTGAAATACTAAAAAGCTACATGGAAGGAAGAGGTTTTAGCAGCCGGGCCTTGCGGTGGTGGGAGGGGGACGGAGGGGCTTCCACGCGTCTGCCTCCTTCGGGAAGGAGCCGTTCAGCCTGGCCCTTCCAGCCTGTTAGCTCTGGCAGAGCACGCACAGCCTCGGCCGCTGGGTGCTCTGGAGAGGCGAGGAGGACGGGGCCTCTTTGGCGCCCAGGCGTTGTGGCCGGGTCCCTGGTGAGGTGTCCGCAGGGCAAAGGCAGGTGCGGAGGGCTGCCCCGGCACGGGTCATTGGTGCTCTGGAGACTGTTTGCTTTGGAAGCGCCCGAACTGCCGTGCGTAGGCGTGTGGCCGCTCGCCTCGCGGGGAGGGGGGTTCCCTTGGGCTCCTTCCCGAGGGGGGGGCTTGCCCCCGTGGACTGCATTCCCGGGTCATCTGTCCAGACCGCTGCTGGGTGGGGTGGGGTGGGGTGGGGGGTGCTTGGCACGAAGGTGTGTGTCCCCGAGGCGGCACGGCGCTTCACCCTCGCCTCTCTTCCAGACGAAGAGGCTGACCTGGGGGGCCACCGCGCGACAGGCCCCGGCCAGCGCAAGATCAACAAGGTGAGCGGCGCCCGTTCGACCTGCTTGACCGGCGAGACCGGCTGGCTTGCACGAGCCGCCTTGGTCGAGGGAGGCAGAGTCGCTGCCGCCACGCTGAGCCCCTCCGGGCGGAGGGTGGACTCGGGGCCCCAGCAGTCAGGCATGCTTTGGTTTTGCTTCCTGCTCCAAGGGGCTCCCGAGCATCAGCCCCCTGGCTGCGCAGGAGGGGGCGAACGGAGGCCAGAGGAAGGAGAGTTGCTCGGGGGGACTGAGGGGCCTGGCTGTGCTGGCACGCGGGCCCGGATCCCTGGGGGGCGCGCCAGATTTCGTCCCGCTGGGGAGCCCCCCCTCTGCTCACAGAAAGCCCCCTGGGGCTGCTGGGCGAGTCCTCTGCCGGGTCGCCAGGCCGCCGACGCCGGGTGCAGCCAGCCGGGGCTGCCCGGGATGCTTTGGCTGGGGGGACACTCTTAAAATACCTGACGGCCCCACTGCGAAGCAGCCGCCGCTCTGGCCCCCACTCGTCGCAAAATGCCCAGCGTGCCCAGAGGCGCCCACGGGAGCATCGCGCAGGCTGGAGCAGTGGCGAGCCCACCTCTCCTGACCCGCGAGCGGCTGGGCGGGGCGGCCCTTCCGCTCCTTTCCCTTGCGGAGGAGGCTGGCTCGGTGGAAATGGGGGGGGGAGCCCCCCCCACCGCTTTCCAGCAAGGCGGCTCCCCACCACCTCCATCTGGGGGAACGGAGCGATCGCTCCATGGATGCGCTGGCACGGAGGGCGCCGCAGCAGGCTTCCCTCCCAGCTCGGCCGCGACTTGCCGGAGGGCCCGCTCGGGAAGTGCAGGCTTCCCCCGAGAGGCCAGGCCTCGTACCTCCGTGCCAGCGCCAGGCTGGCGCGTGTGCGTGCGCGTGCACATGTATGTGCGCGCTGCACTGCACTAGAAAACCAGGCTGGGGCCTCTCTCCTCCCCCCTTTCGCCCTCCCTGCAGTGGAACCAGCGCAATGACAAAGGCGAGACCTTGCTGCATCGGGCCTGCATCGACGGCAACCTGCGCCAGGTGCGGTTCTTCGTGGAGAAGGTAAGCCCCGGGCCGGGCCGGGCCGGGCCGGGCCGGGCCGGCTGGATCAGATCCACCGGCTGGAGGGAGGGGCAGGGCTGCCTGGGCCTCCAGGGATGAGGGGCTCCCTCCTCGGCCCTGTCCTGCCAGCTGCTCCTGCTCACAGCCACCCCGGTCCCCGCCCTTGGCTGCACTGCCCGTGCCCGCCCTGGCCGGCGGCCTGACACGGGCCGCGTTCCAGGCTCCCCACCCACTCCGTGCTGGAAACCGGGCAGGCGAGTCCATATCTGGATTTACGTAATGCCTTTTCTCCTTCCTTTCAAAACGGGCCTTTCAGACCATTTCATTCCATAAAAGCTGCTAGCCAGAAGGCCTTTTGCTACCCCGGTCGCCTCTGGCCTTCTCTGTTTGCGGCCCAAGGCAGAACAGTGACTGCTCCGTAAAAGTCCTGCTGGGCTACCCGGGGCGGGGGGCATCTTGCCCACCTCTGTGGCCAAGCAGGGGGCCCCTTGGAAGCCTCGTCCACGTGCATGAACTGCGCGTCCCGGTAATGTGCGAACGGGCGAACCTTCCCACGGGGCTCCTCAGTGCTCAGTCGCAGCCGAGGGCCCGGTATTCCCCTGTCGCACATTCTTCTTGCCTGCCTGGTTTCTCAAACCCGCCGGAAGCGAATGGCCCCTGCTGCTCAAGCGCCCTAGCAAAGGTGCTGCCCCGGGGGGAACCGCGGGGGTCGCCTTGGCCAAGTGGGCGCTGGGGGAGAGGGAGGGGATCAATTCGGGGAGGAGGAGAGGGGCGGAGGCAAGTTCCCCCGTTTAATGTGCGGTGCGGTCCACTGAAGTGCTTCTCGTCTCCGCGCCAGGGCCACCCGCTGAACCCCCGGGACTACTGCGGCTGGACCCCCCTGCACGAGGCCTGCAACCACGGGCACCTGGGTGAGCTGCGGGACGGGAGCCTCTCAGCCCCGGGGCAGATCGAGGGGTGGGAAGCAGGCTGGGCTAAGCTCGCCTCCTCGTCCTTCCCCTAGAAATTGTGCGCTTCCTTTTGGACCACGGAGCCGCTGTGGATGATCCGGGGGGCCCTGGGTGCGAGGGCATCACCCCCCTGCACGATGCCCTCAACTGCGGCCACTTCGACGTGGCGGAGCTCCTGGTCGAGAGGGGGGCCTCCGTGCTGCTGTGCAACGCCAAGGTGAGGCCGGAGGCCAGAGGCAGGGCGGCAGCGGGCGGAGCGGGAGCCGTGCCCGTGCTCCTGCAGGCCACGCGCCGGGCGGGCCGGCCCCCTCGCCGGCTGGTGTGGGGAGGGGCGTCTGGGCCTGGAGAGGCCGCCGCTGCTTCCTCGGGAAGCGCTCCGGCCCCCCCTCCCTTCCAGGGGAACCCTGCCCGCGCTGCCCTGCCCCTGCCCACCAGAGTCCGAAGCGCCGGCTGGCTGGCACCCCTCCTCCTGCTACCCTTTCCGGGCTTGCCTCTGCGCTTCCCATGCGCCAAGCGCATGCAGGTCCCTTGTTTTGGGCCTGTCGCACGTGGACAAAGGGGCCGCTTCCCCTCTTGCCCTGGCGCCCAGTCCCTGGCCAAAGCCCTGGGGAAGCTGCCCCAGCGACCACTAAAGTCGGGGCCACTGGCCTGCACCAACCTCCCCCCCCCCGGGAGTCCATGGCTTCCCACCACTGATGCTGCCCCTCCCAGGCTCGCGGCGTTCCCTGCCGCCCCAGGGCTGCTCTTCTCCATCACGGAGCGGCAGGCTTGGGGGAGCGGAGCGCAAGGGGGCCTCCCGCTCGGGGGCCGGGGGGGCTCCACCACTGCGGCTGCCGCTGTCCAGCCAGGCCTGGCCGCCCCGCGGCTCCACGGCAGCGGCTGCTCGCAGGCACCGCGTGGGCCTGCCTTGCCCTTCGCCCTCTGCCCCCCTGGCAGGCAGCGCTTGGCCAGGGCTGGGGGCCCTCCCCTTGTGGTGGCGGAAGGGCAAGGGGGTCCGTCTCGGCAACCCGGGCAGCCCCCCCGGGCCAGCAGTGCCGCCGCCGCCGACAGCCCCCCCTGCGTTTCCCATCCTCAGGGCCTGACCCCCCTGGGCACCCTCCAGGCCTGGGTGCAGCTGTTCGGCCGGGACCTGGACCGGGAAACGCGCCAGCGCTCCGAGGCCATGGAGCAGCTGCTTCGGAAGGCCATGGCGGGCCGAGGTGGGCCTGCGCGGCCAGAGCGGGCTCGAGGGGCAGGGGCGGAGGGCAGCCTGGGTCCGGGTCCCAGGGCGCTCCCCTCTCCCCACGCCTCAGAGGGAGGCCCCACAACCCTGGCCCCTTTGTTCCGCCCGCCAAGGCCTCGAGGGCCGGGGCGGAGGGACCCCCTCTGGAGGGCGGCCACGGGCCAGGGGCTCCTTGGTGGTGGTGGGTTCTGCGTGCACGGGGCGAGCGCCTTCGGGCGCACGTTCGCGCAGGTGGCGCCTCCCGAGAGCGTGCGCCTGAGCCCTGCCCAAAGGGGGCTTCTGAGGAGGTGGAGCCTCGGTGCTGATGGGGGTCTTCTCCTCCTCGGCCCCCGCAGGCTCCAGGGCTCCGCTGCAGCAGAGCCAGCCGGCCAGCCAGCTGTTCGACGCCGAGCTCCCGGAGTCCCCGACCTCCTGCCCTCCGGGCCCCGCTCTCGTGCCCCACAGCCCCAGGGGGAGCCCGCAGGAGCCCGAGGAGGGATGCGTGAGCCCCCGGAAGCCCGTCAGGAGGCTGTGGCCGCTCGGCCGGAAGCCGGCGAGGGAGGAGGAATCGCCGGTGGGGGCAGTGGGGGAGCAGGTGGGGCCGGGGCCGGCTGCCTCCGCCGAGTACCGGGCAGCCATGCGGGGTGTGGGCAGCGCCCATTCCCGCCACCCGCCCAGCCCAGGGGGCCCCACGCGCCCTCCCGGGCCAGCCCTGATCCCGTCCGAGGAGTACGTGGGGGACGACTGGCTGGAGGACGACCTGGGCCCCCGACCCCACTCCCGCAAGAGAGGCCGCCAGAGCCCGGCTGGGGCAGCAGGGGCAGGAGCGGGCTCCGCAGAAAGCACGGCGTCCGAGAGCGACGAGGGGGCATCCCGCCAGCCCCCGGAGCTGACGCGGAAGCGGAGGAGGCGAGTCCGGCAGAGCCGCCTCTCCCAGATGGTGGCCAGGGCCCTGCCGGGCCGCGTCTGGGGGACTGGTGCAGAGGGGAGGCCCGAGGCCCCGGCCGATGCTGGCCGCCTTCAGGGGGCCAGCGGTGGCAGCAGCAGGGTCAATGGCGTGCCGGAGCACGAAGAATGCCCCCCGCCGGGACCCACGCAGGTGAGCTTTGAGTGGCATGTGCTGGGCTCGTTCCTTGCCCGGGCGCCGGTTCTGGTGCCCCCGTGGGGTGGCAGCCGCAGTAGCGGCAGCATCACCCTGAAGCCCCCCGGCCGGCAGCCGACTGCTCAGGTGCAGCGGGCCCCTCTGCGAGCGGGGCACCCTCGACCAAGGAGAGCCCCCCGTCTCCGGAAGGCAGGCCGCTCAGAGGAGGAAGGGGCACGGGTGGGATCATTGCCTTGCATCTGCTCTGGGCGACCCCCTTTCCGGCTGGGAGCTCCTGCGGGCCGCCTCCATCGCTCGCCCCTCCCTCCCTCCCTCCTCTCCTGTAGCTGCCGGCTCCCCCTCCGCCGGTTCGGGTGCGTGTTCGGGTGCGAGACAGCGTCTTCCTTATCCCCGTGCCCCACAGGTAAGAGGGCAGGGCTGGGCGGTCCCTTTGCTCCGCCCCCCTCCCCGAAGCCGGGCTCTTTCTCCTGCTTCCCTGGGAACACGAGGAGAGCCTGGCAGGGCAGCCCGGAGGCCCAGCTGGCCGGCATCCCGTGGCTGGCGCTGCGGTGGCCGGGCTCTGCGCAGGGGCTCTGCTCGGTGTCCGTGGCTCGCGTGGGCAGGCCCAGGGTGCCCGCTGCGTGCCAGCTGCTGTTGGTTGGCGCTCGCGCTGCCTTGCCAGAGGCCTTCGTGCTGCCCAGCCCTCGGTGCTCGTGTCAAAGACGGGGTGAGCTCCCGAGCGCATTGGGGAAAGGAGGGGGTGCTGCTGGGTCCGACGGGGCCTCCGTGCAACTTGTGTAGTGGAGGGGAATCGGTCTTTCTGCCCCAGCCCGTCCTCCCTCTGGAGGAGTGGGGAGGGCCTGCGGCCCCGGGAAGCGGGGGGTGGGCTGTTCCTTCCTCGTGTGCCCCACAGGGGTCTGGGGCGGGGGCGGGCCTGCCGCTCTAGCGCCCCCCTCCCTTGCAGCGAGAGCGAGGGCCGCCCCGTGTCGTGGCTGGCGGAGCAGGCCTCCCAGCGGTACTACCAGAGCTGCGGGCTGCTGCCACGCCTGACCCTGAAAAAAGAGGGGGCGCTCCTGGCTCCCCAGGACCGTGTCGTGGACGTCCTGCAGAGCAACGAAGAGGTGAGCGCCTGCGGCCAGCGCCCGCCCTGAGCTGCCTCCCTCCGGGGGCCCCGACCCGGGCGAGGAGCCCGGCCCCGGCCCTTCCGGCATCCGGCGCGGCCTCCCTTCCCCTCTGACGCCCCCGGAGCTCTGGCCACACCTGCCTGTTCCTGCTCCTCAGGTGCAACCGGGGCAGGCGGTGCGAGACAGCAGGGCCGGCCCCTGGGCTTTGGGCCAAGGCAGCCCCAGAGGGCGTCCCCATGGGGCCACGGACCAGTGCCGGCGCAGCTCCGCCGCGTTCCACTTGTGGCTGTGGCCAGCGGGGTGGGTGTTGCGCACCACGACGGCCGCCCGCCCGCTATTCAGCTCCCCTCGGGAAGCTGGCGGCTGGGGCAGCGACGGGAGGGCGGCTCTTGCGGGCCCCGCTGAGTGGTCTGAGCGGCAGGCAGCGGCACTCCCGGCCGGGGCGCGAGGGGCACGCGGTATGGGATGGCTCCGCGGCCTGACCTGCCCCCACACCCCTCTCTCCGAGGAAGGTGCTGGCCGAGGTGCAGTCGTGGGACCTGCCGCCCCTGGTGGAGCGATACCGGAAGGCCTGCCGGAACCTGGCTGTGGGTAAGCTGCCGGCCCCACGGACTGGGAGGCGCATGGCGCCCTCCTGCGCTCCCAGGAGCCCCTGTTGGGCAGGAGGAGCTGCTGGGCATGTTCAAAGGGGTGTCTGGCAGCGCTCTTGCTGAGCCTCCCTGCGGCCCAGGTGCAGGGCCGCCCCCCCGGCTCCCGCGCACCGGCTCCGTGCTGCTGCCGCCGTGGCTGATGCTCGCTTGCGCATCTCCCTCTCTCCTGCACCGGACAGGGGAGCACCGGCTGCTCCTGAAGGTGTTGGAGCGGCAGGAGGCGGGCCCGTCCTTCAGCGTCTCCGGTGTGACCCTGCGGCGCCTCCACCTGGCCCCGCTCTTCCGGGCACTCAAGCTGCAGGCCTCCATCCGGCGCCTCTGCCTCTCGGGGACTGGCCTGGGGGACGACGCGGCCGAAGAGCTCCTGGCCAGCGTGGGCACCATGCCCGGCCTGACCCAGCTCGACCTGTCGGCCAACCGGCTCGGCCCGGAGGGGCTGCACAAGCTGGCCAACGGGCTCTCCGCCTCCGCCCAGGTGGGTTGGGGGGCTGCCCCCACTTGCTCGGGCAGGTTGGGGGGGAGGGCGGGGTTTGGATCCCGCGCTGCCCCTTCTTGGGACACTCCCCCTCGGGCGTGGGGGGCCGCCGAAGGGGCAGCCTCATGGCCCGCTGGCCCCCTGCGCCTCGCCCCCCCTCACGCCGCCCCGGCCGCCCCTGTCGTTGCAGAGGCTGGACGAGCTGGACCTCAGCCTGAACCCGCTGGGCGACCGCAGTGCCCAGCCCCTGGCCGCCCTGCTGTGCGCCTGCCCCGTCCTGGCCGTGCTGCGGCTGCAGGGCTGCGGCTTCACCAGCGCCCTTCTGCAGCGCGGGCGCCCGCTGCTGGCCAGTGCCCTGGGAGGTAAGAAGCCGGGGCTGGTGGGCAGGGCAGGCAAGCGGGTGCCCCACGTCTCCGAGGCTGCTCTGGGCAAGGGAAGCCGCCCTCGTGTGGCTGCTGAGGCCCCTGCAGGAGTTTCCTGGCACGGGTTGTGGGGAGGGTTGCGTAGGCTGGCTGGGGAACGAGCGCCCTGTGCGTGCGGAGACGTGGTCAGGGGCATTAATGCGAAGCCCCCGTGGCGGTGGGCTCCTGCGCCCCTCCCCTCCCTCTGCCCCTCCCCACTCGCCGCCCCCCTTCCGCGCTTCCTCTCGCTCAGGGGTGGTGCAGCTGCGGAGCCTCTCCATGTCCCACAATGTCCTGGGTGCCTCCGGCCTGGACCTGCTCCTGAAGAGCCTGCCCTGGGCCAGCGTCACCCACCTGGAGATCGGCTCGGTGGGCGCCGGGCCGGAAGACCGGCAGCCCCTGCAGGAGGCACTGGGCGGGTACTTGGCACAGGTATGGCGGGGCGGGCGGGCGCCTTGGACGTGGCCCCCTCCCTTGGCCCCCTGCCCTGCGCCCTCGTCGGGCGCCGGCAAGTCGCGTCCGACGTAGCCGGCCTTCCACGTGGGAGGCCTCCCACCCACGCTCCCCACCGGGGCCGCTCAGCTCACGTGCGTGTGCCTTCCAGGCGTGGCTGGAGGAGCCGGTGCGGCCTTCCCCAGCGTGCTCGGAGCCTTCTGGGTGGGCTGGAGCGCACCCCCCACGGCTCCCAGCTCCCGTGGCCGATGGCCGTGGGGGCCGGGAATGGAGGCCGCCTGGCACATGGGGCTCGAAGCCCTCGGTCGGGCCAAGCAGGGCCAGGAGTGGGGAGGGCCGCTCTTTATGCCGGGAGCGACCTGGCGTGTGGCTCGGGCTTCCCCACCCCAGCCATTCTCTGCTCTGAACCCTGCAATTCCTCTGGGCAGGAAGACTGTGCGCTCAGCCGGCTCACTTTCTCTGGGAACCACCTGGATGATGCCGCCGTCGCAGAGCTGGCCAGGTGGGTGGGGTTTGCACTGCTCTGTCTCGGGGTGCCCCGGTTTTGCCTGGTTCTGACTTGTCTTTTGCGGGTGGGGCGGGACATTGGCATTCTGTGCTTGGAAACCAGCTCTGGGGGGCGCACCTTCCTCAGTGGGCCCCGCGCTGGCGCCTCCCGTTGCGAGAGGGCTCCCTGCCCCGGAGCGAGAGGCCGAGCTCGGGGAGGTGGCTGGGATGGCGTTTTCTGGGCCCTGACCTCTCGGCCTTCACAGACAGTCCCTTGCCTCTTGGGGCAGGAGGGGTGTGTTTCGCCCCACGTTACCGAGACGTCCCATGCTGAAAGCTGTGGGTGCAGGAGCCGCCCGTGTGGATCCCTCCATCGCCACAGCAGGAGCTTTGCCAGTGTCCCGGGTTCTGCTCCGCTCCTCTGCCAAGGTTTCCTGCCCCCCCCCCGCCCCCGCAGCGAGAGCAGGGCCTTGGCCTGGCCACCTTCCGCCCCAGCCAGCGGCGGTGGGGCTGTCCTTCCCTGCCCGCGAGCTTCCCGAGGCATCAGGCCGAACAGGGTCGGGGCCCAGACAGCCACTCTGCGCATGCTTTGCTCTCAGCCCGGGAAGGAGCTTTCTGGGCCTGCACCCGAGCAAGGCCTGTGGCTGGGCGAGACCCCCGCCGGGGTGCTCTCGCTGCCCTTTCCAGACGCGCCCCCTGAGGCCCCGTCTCTCCTCAGGTGCCTCCCGCGCTGCCCCGCTTTGGTCGCACTGGACTTGTCTGCAAACCGCGCAGTCGGCACAGCCGGCCTCCAGGCGCTGCTGCGGGCCCTGGACGAGAGGGGGCACGGCCTCCAGTTCCTCAGCCTGGCGGGTGAGTCGGCTCTGCCCATCCCGTCCAGGGGCAGCCAGTCTGGCCCGGGGGGCTTGGATGCGGCTCCTCACCGGGGGGAGGTGGGCCGATTCCTGCCTCCCGCCTGCATTAACTTCGCCAGATGCCCCGAGGGATGCTCCCCTGGCCCCCTAAGCAACAGAGCAGGCTGGATCATGTCTCCTGGGTCGCCTGCCCCACACATGCCCCTGCCTTCCCAGTGTGGCTTCTCGGGGGGGGGGGGGGCGGAGGGCCACGTCTCCGAACGACGCAGGGCCCCCTCCTCCCTGTGCAGCACGAGGGAATGAAGCGCCGGCCTGAGCAGCGGGCCCTTGAGGCAGAGGGAGGAGTCGAGGTGACTGACTGGCCAAATCCCCTTCCTTCCCAGGCTGCTGTGTCACGGGGCCGCTGGATGGTGCCACATGGGCGAGGCTCTCCTCCCGCGTCCGTCAGCTGCAGCTCTGCAGCCGCAGCGTGAGCAGGGGCGACCAGCGGGCCGTCGCGGAGCTGTGGCAGGGCCCGGCGGGCACCACGCTCCACTCGGTCACCCGCCACCACAAGCTCTTCTGCCAGTGCCGGTAGCCGCGCCTGGCCGGCCACACCGCGCCACCCCCGAGACCTGCAACCCGCCCCCAGCCTGCGCTGAGACGGCGTCGCGTGTGCCGCGTGGGGCCCAGCACGCCTTTCCCAGAGACTGCCCCCTGCTGCCGTGGACCACCAAGCCCCAGCGCCCAGGACGGACGGGCCCGGCTGCCCGGGACGTGTGGGGGGCCGACTCGGGGGCCACGCGAAGGGAGAAGGGCTGCACCGGGGCCCCTGTGAGCAGCCGCTGCTGCTGCGCCCACGCCCAGCGCTGCGCTCTCCCGCTGTACCCCCCCCCCCGCTTTGGGTGTCATCTCTCAGCACGGGCTGAATGTAAATACCTCTTCCTGCTCGCAGCTTCTTTGCTTGTGCGCCTGACTCGCCGCGGTCGCTGCCTGTCTGCACGGGCTGCTCACAGGTGACGTGGGGAGCCCCAGAGGCCGGTCCGACTGGGCAAGTCCAGTGGGGGGGCCCATGTGCCTCAGGGCCGGGGCAGCCGAAGCACGAGGGCCCGTCCAGTCCCCGCTCCCCCCAACCGCACGCACTTCCGTTCCTTGTGGGAGGAGCCAAGATCGGACCCGAGGTCCCTCCAGCAGGACGGGTGCAGGGCCTCCACCTCCCATGCTCCTCAGCAACTGGCCATGCAGGCACCACCTGATCGCCTCCCCCGTATCTCACTGACCAGGCGGAAATGACATCGAGTAGAGAGAGGTTTATTGGAGTTTGGCTGGCTGGCGGCTGCCTCTGGGCAGCGACAACAAGGCCCAATAAATACGAGCACCACGAGGGGGCCCTGTCGCCCGCCACATCACCCTGCCAGTCCCCAGCGCGGGCACCTGGCCCAGCCGCCGGGCCCCTTGCTGCCGCCCCCTGGCAACCGGCAGGGGCACCGCGGAGTTTTCCGGAAAGGGGGAACACACGCCCTCGCGTTCCAAAGGACAGCGCGCGAGGGATGTACATGCAGCCGCCTTCCGACTGGTGGCTTGAGCGCAGGCCCCTCGGGCCCCGGCTCGGTTTGCGCCCAAGGAGGGGGTCCGGGCTGCCGCGGGGGGTGGGGAGCGAGGCCCGCCGCGTCCTCACGAGTGCAGGAAGCGGTTGAAGGCGTTGTAGGCCGACTCCAGGTCGAAGAGCATCTGCCGGACTTGGGAATCGTCCAGTTCGTCGGACGCCGACATGCCGCTCAGCGTCTGCAGCCTGGAGGGAGGACAGAGCCCAGAGCCCGTGGGCTGCCGTCTTGCCCTGCTCGCCTCCGGAGATGCGCAGGGAGGGCAAGGGCACCTCGTGCAAGACGCCGCCCCGGGTGGGCGGCAGGCGCAAAGGAGGGGGAGGGGGCGCGCCCCACGTGCTCTTCACGCACCCTCGTGGCTGGCCGCTCGGGCCCAGCCTCTGCGGGACCCCCCCCCATTCCAAAGCGACAGGCCAGAGTGGGGCAGGCCCACCCCCCGGCAGCACTCACCACTGGTTCACTTTCTGCCGTCCCTCAAAGTCTGGGGGCAGGTGGCTCATGCGGTTCATGGTCTCCATCAGCTCCCGGAGGTCCGGCTGGATCTGCGGATGGGAGAGGGAGGTGGCTCACCCTTCCCTGCCTGCGCCTCTGCCCAAAGCATCCCGGGGAGCCGGTCGTCGTTCTGGCGCCTCCAGGAGCCGAGCGGAGGGCAGTGTGACATCCAGAGGCTTGGCATCCAGCGAAGGGCTTCCAACCGAACCAGGGAGCAGTCTGGAGGGTGGGGCAACCCCCCCAGAAGACAGATACACTGCCCCAAAAGGCAGCGGCCTGCCAGTGGCGGCAGCAAAGGGGCCCCTGAGGAGGGGTGGCGACTCAGTCCCCCCCCCCCCGTTGCTGGGTGACCTGGTGGTTCCAACAGCTGCCACTGGACCCTGCGGGGCCAGCGCCCAGGGAGGAGCCCGCGGCCGCCACTCGCCTCGTCCATGGCGCGGATTTCCAAGCGGAGCTTGTCCATCACTGTGATGAAGAGCTGGAAAGGAAAGGGCCCGCGGTTCATGCCAGGCGCCCTGGGGCCACAGGCCCGCGAGGCGCCCCCCCCCGCCACCCGCCCAGCGCCCTCCCGGCTACCGAGACGATGTCCGCAATGCAGCGGTTGAGGTTGCCCTTGTCGTCCTTGATGGTGATCGGCCGGTCCTCCTTGATCCTCTCCATGGCCAGCGGGCAGTCCAGCTGCAGGGGGCAGAGGGAGGCTCGATGGGGCAAGAGCAGGGGCCAGCTCCCCTCGGAGAGCCCCCGGTTAGCAAGCCTGGCTCTGCGCATCCGGGGACAGACCAGGGCCAGAAGGCCTGCCACGGCCCAGCACGGAGGGCCAGCCGTCGGCCTCCTGCAGCTGGCATCCTGGGGTGGGGGTTCGGCTGGGGGTCCCCAGACTCCCCTCCAGCAGCCATCACTCACCCGGAACTTCCGGCAAAAGTCATCGATGGAGTTGATCTCCAAGCCCTGCACCTGCTTGAAGGCAGCCTTGTACTGGACCAGGAGGCGGGAGCAGGCCGCCGTGTACCTGGCGGGGCCAGAGAAAGTGGGAGCCGGGAAGGGGCAGTGGCAAGAGCGCCTCCCTCACTCCGCCCCACAGCCCAGAGGTCTCCTCCTGCCCCAGGGGCGACAATACTGCAGATGCCCACAGGCAGCTGGGCAGGCAGGGGCTGCCCGAAGCACGCACTTCTCTGGGGCAGAAGCTTATGGGGTGGCTAAGCCGCTCTCCCGCTGGCCTGAGAGCGGGAGTACATCCAGCCTGGTGCAGCACCAGTAGCTGGGCATCTCTGGGGGTGAAGCACTCCCTGGCAACACCGATACCTGCTCTGGTAACTTCCTGCTTGGATACCTGCAACGCGCTTGACATGGGGCTACCCTTGAAAATGGTCCGGGTGGTGCAACTGGGACAGAACAGAGCTGCCAGATGTTACTCGCACATGACGCCAGTCCTCTACCAGCTCCACTGGCTCCCAGTTGACGTCCGGGCCCAATTCAAGGTGCTGGTTTTGACCTACAAAGCCCTAAACGGCTTGGGACCAGGATGCCCGAAGGAACGTCTCCTTCCTTACATGCCCGCGTGCCCCTTAAGATCTGTGGGAGAAGTCCTGCTCCGGGAACCCTCTCTAAGATAGGTAAAAAGGTCGTCAACTGGGAGTAGGGCCTTCTCTGCCGTGGCGCCCAGACTCTGGAATGTCCTCCCCAGAGAGGTATGCCTTGCTGCCAAGCTCATACTCTTCGGCGCCAGGTCAGGTCAAAACCTTTTTATTTAAACAGCATTTTAAAATCAATAGTTTTTTATCATTCAGCCACTCTTGTTTTGTTTCCTGATTTCCTGTTTATTGTTTTATACATTATTCTGTTGGGCATCAATGTTTTAAATTGTTCTTTTAAATACTGTAAGCCATCCTGAAATTTTTATATAATAGGACAGCATATAAAGGCTTTCAATAAATAAATAAAGCCCTCCCCTTGAGCTGATATCCCATCAGCTGGTGCCCAGAGGCACTCTCCTCCCAGCCATGGAGTCGCATTTCGCTCATCGGGCCAGTCCTCCTTGCGAACAAGCAGCCCCTCGTTTTGGGGGACAGTCTTGTGGGTGAGAATCGGGGCCTCCCTCTGGCAGGGAGCGTGCTCACCCTCGATGCCCTGTCGGCACCGCTTGCCACTGGAGCCCTTGGCGGGTCGGGCTGAGTCAGGGACTGGCCCAAAGACAGCCAAGAGTGGGCCAAGCCAGGGCCCCCCAGATCCTGGCCCCAAGGCTTGGAGGGATGTCCTCCCGGCTCCCAGGGCTGCTAAATCCCCCCTCCCCTCTGGGGGAGCTGAGCCGGCGACGGGGGAGTTCCCTCTGAGGGCTGCCACTCACTCGTTGGGGGTGACGCAGTCCTTGATGTAGGCCTTCTCCAACGCCTGCATCGTCTTCACCACGGCGAACAGCTCCGCCATGTTGTCGTACCTGAGGCAACAGAGAGGCCACCTGCTGAGCCCCACGCTCAAGCTGGGCATCAGAGGCTCCGGCACAGGCGGGGCAGACCCCTCGCAGGCGAGGCCCCGTGTGCAGAAGGGACAACGCGCGGCCGCACACCTCCGGGCCACCGCTGCTTCCCCATCGCCTCCGCGCATCCCTACTGCTCGGGTTCAAAAGCTGCAGGAGCTCCTGAGGAAAGTACTCACTTCTCTCGCTCCCGGGCATTCTTGTACAGCTTCACTTCCTGCAAGGGAAAAGTGAAGTTACGCCCACCAGGCCGTTGCAACGCAGGGAGGACAAGCTGGGGCTGAGCGGCCTCCAAGGCTGTGCTGAGCGAGGCCAGAGTGGGGAGGAACCTGCTGGGTCCTCGCCGCCAGGAGAGGGGCTGGGCGTCCCCTGCAGCCCACGCTGCCTGCCCACCGGAAAGAGCCACTGGCCCCTGAGCTATGCAGAAACGGCGTTACTTGCCTCGTACAGTTCTGGTTTATTCCCTGGGGCTGAAACGAGACGGAAACAAATGAGAGCACAGACAGAGCTGCAGTTACCCACACCAGCCATCATGGACAGAGCCAGCGAGATCCTGAGAAACCTGCGGGGCTCAGAAAAGCCCTGGCAGCTCTCCGGTCACGGGGGCAGCAGCGTGCCACGGCATTCTCGGACCACCAAGAAGAGGTCACACAGAGGCGAGAGCAAGGGGGACGGCCAAGCCCTGGGGTGGCCCGGAGCCCAGTGCCCGGTCGGCACATTGCGCGTTAGCGAGGGCACAGGCCCCCAGGGGCCCAAAGCCTGGGGGTTGCCACCTAAGGGGCCAGTCGGCCCGCCGGCGTCCACTCGCGGCCACGGCTGCGGGGCGTTCGCTCTGGCCGGGTCGCGGAGAGCTGCACCCAGGGCCGGGCCAAGGACTCACCTCCCATCCCAGGGGCCGCGGGGATTCCATGGAACATGCTGCTGGGTCCGCCGCTCGGGGTCAGCCACCACACGCGCCTGCGGCGGGACAGCAGGACACGGTCACGCTCCCTCGGCGCCCTGGCCCGCCGCCGAGGCCCGCGCCCCGCGCCCACGGCCCACTCGCTCAGCAGCCGGGCCGGGCCTGGCCCGGAGCTTCGGGGGCCGCGACTGTGTGCCCCCCCGTCCCTTCCCCCAGAGGCCGCTGCAGCTCCGCACGGACCCTTCTCCCGGGCTGTCCTCCCGGCTGGCCAGGGCTCGCGGCGCCGGGGGGCGTGCGGCCGGGCGGGGCTGCGGCTCGGCTCCCCCTCCCCGCTCCGCGCCGGAGGCTCTAGCGGAGGCCCGTCCGCGCCCCCGCGCCACGAAGCCCGCCCCGAGGCCCCGGGAGCGCCGCGCCTGGAGCGCGCCCCCCGGCGCTTCCCCAACCCGGCGCCCCCCCCCCGATGCTGGGCGCGCCGGCCGAGGAGCCTCCCCGAGCCGCTGCCCTCCGTCCGGGAGGAGCCCGCCCTTCCCCGCCCCAGCGAAGGGCAGTCCCGGAGCGGGGCCCGGCCGCGCCCCCGGGCGCCCCCCGGCCCGGCCCGCCGCACCTTCGCCGCCGCCGCCTGCTTCCGGGCCCGCGATCGACAGCTCGGCCGGCCGCTGCACCCGCCTGGCCCCGCCCATTCGGCTCGGCGCTCGGGCCGCGTGACGTCAGGCGCGCGCCGCTTCCGGGAGCAGCCCCGCCCCGTGGCCTGCTCGGCTCGGCTCGGCTCGGCTCGGTTCCCGCCGCTGCCGCGAGGCCGGCCAGGGAAGGTGCGGCCCGGCCCGGCCCGGCCCGGCCCGGCCCGGCCGAAGAGCTGCGCGAGTGGCCCGCTCCCTCCGGCCGCGGCCGCCTTCCTCGGAGGCGTCGCGATGGGCGGCGGCGGCAGGCGCGGAACCGAGGGGCGCTGGAAGCCCGGCCCGGAGCTGGGCCAGTGGAGCAGCGCCGCGGGGCCCCGGCGTCCCACGGGGCGCTCGTTTGCAGGCCGCCCGGAGGAGGCGGCGGCGGCGGCATGGCCAGCGCCTCGCTTCCTGGGCTTTCCGGGGGGGGCGCAGCAGCCGCGCCTCCTCCTAGGCCGGGGGCACCGCTCGAGGACCCAGCCGTGCCCTTCCCGCCCCCTCACCAGGCGAGGAGGAGCTGCGGGAGCGCCTTGGGAGCCCAACACGGAGCCGGCGTCGCTCCGGGGGCCCGGGACCCGGGCTGAGCAGAGCCGTGCGCGCCCAGCGCCACACCTCGCGCCCAGCCGTGGTGGCGGGCAGCAGAACTCCCCGGGCCGCCTCCCCAGTCCTAGCTGGATGCACAAGGCGCAGGCTGCACCCACCCGGGACGGCCCTGCCAGCTTCTGTGGCGATGCCCGTCGCCCAGCGGCCGTAGCAGCTGCTTCAGTGCCTCTGAGAAAGTAACTGTGCTTCACAAAGCTCGTAGTGAAGCTGACCCTTGAGCCCCAGCATGGACCCAACTCTCCAGGAGCCAAAAACATGAGAAAAGGCGGCCGCTTCGTGTGTTGCTTATTTGGTTTGCTTTATTGCTTACATGTGGATTGCACAGTGTTTTTACACTTAGTCACATAGGTCATCACAGAGAGTTCAAACCATATATATCTAAGCATCGGTAAAAGAAACAGCTCAAAACATTCTCTGACTGTCCTGTTTTTATTTATGCCTTAAAATAAAATTGAGAATGAGAGAGAGACTTTTAAAGCGATCAGCTGAAATGCCCAGGTATGAACTGTCATAGATACAAATACCCGCAGGACTCCAAACAACATTCAAACGGCACCAACACTGTCACAAACACAGTTCGTCAAGCACATGGGTCTTTTTACCAAAAGCCCTCCAAACAGTTTATTGATTTCAAGGAACTGTTTCAAAGTTAACCATTAGCAGCCCATCTTGACTACTGTCGGGGCAATGCCAACGAAGCTGTTCTTTCCCACGCCTCTACATTTCACCATGGAATGCCTTACTTTGGACCAACCACAAATGATGGGAGCTCCTGCTTGCTTTCCCACCCCTATTAAATGCTGAGGAAATGTGGAATTTTACTGTGTAATACAACAACAAAAATACAAAAACAACTCGTTGGAGACACCAAAGCGAACGGGACATGAAATGAAAGGCATCTGTTGCATGCAGGGCTGAGCAGGCAGCGGCTGAGCCGTTGAGCAGTACGTCCCACAGATGGCACGAGTGCAAATAAAACGGCGTTCTCGCGCCTGGTGTACCCAAGTTACGACAGCGGCACGGATAGCCTCCTTCATGTGTGTGCTGACCTCTGACTGATGTGCATCTTTAAAGAAAATGCCACCTGGATGATACCAGACGCCAAGACAGCTTACCTTCCAGAACCAAAATGTGGAAGCTAAGGGTGCCGAGAAAACGGCACTGCGTTCTGTGAGGGGTGCTGCCTCTGGTCTGAGCAGGGTGGAAGTGTGGAGCACTGGCAACCACAGGGAAAAGCTGTACGAAAGAGGCTGTTTCGTCATCCACTAAGAGCTGTGACTGCGCTGTCAAACTGAAAAGAAGGCCTTGGTTACCGTAAGCACTTCTGAAACACATCAGTGCCTTGTTTCACAGGCTGGGAAATTTAAAAGAACTCAGGGGAAAGACTAGACCTCTCCCAAGAAACCAAGAATCTCAACACGGTGCGCACTGTGACAACGTGTCCTTCCACCCTCGACTAAGTTTACAATCAAGCTCGAACCCAGACCAGTGATGAGAAGGTTTTCCGATATGTGAACATCGAGAAAGCACGTTGCGGATGTCTCACTGCACAACATAAAGGTACCACTGGCCTTGAATCACCAACACAGTCACAAGTGCCAGCCTGTTGAAGAATTTATATTTTCACCAGTGAAATTGCAGGCATGGCTCGAACTCCACCACAGTGTCCTTGGTTTCTTGGGCCGTGCGTGTTAAGTGCAGATCAAGCAGCAGGCTACTGCTGTAAGGTCTTGCCTGGGATACACAGAATAATGGAGCTGAGCAAGTCCATATTCTATTCTTGGAGGAAAATGTGCCAATGATGTTGAAGCAAATACAAGGCCACGCATTTCTAAAATGCAGCCCCTCGGGGCAGGAGAGGACCTCTATGCAACTGACCCACTCACCTCTCCAGGGAGCGCCACCATTTTTCCTTCAGTTGATAAAGTATCATTAAAACCTACACAACTACACTACAGAGAGAAATATTGTGTAGAATAACTCGCTTCACTTTTACAGTTCCACAGAGAATTAGTAAAAAAAATTGTACCATTTTAAAATGCCCTTAATTCTCTTGTGCTATACTAAATAGGTCATATATAATGCAGATCCTAAAAAGCAGCACAGCAAAAATATTTCCCCCCAGAAGCCTGGGTTAAGAACGCGACATTTTAAGACATCAAAAATATTGCCAGGTATCTTATTTAAAAAGACCTCATTTCTTTGCTGCAGCAGAACATGTGGGAAATGGCACTGATGCAGAATTCCTAGGAAGCACGGTGCACTCGAGTTCACGGCTGTGACTGACGGGGAGGCAACGTGTCGCCCCTTGCGCGACGCTTGGTGCCAGGAAACCCACAGCAGCCAGGTGTTCACCCCGCACTGCTGGTGGGGCTCAGGCACTTGTGCTGTGCAAAGGCAGAGCCTGAACGAACCAGCAAGGAGGGGGCCAGTGCCACCCCCTCTGCGTGGAGTGAAGCCACGAGTGCCGAGGCGGCATCTCATCTAAACATTCTCTGTTCAATGAAACATCAAACAGCCTGGCAACAGAGGCAGAGCGAGTCTTGCAGAATGAGCAATCTGCAATGCAGGCACAATCCCAGCCTGGCCGCACTTTATCCGGGGTTATTTCTGAAAGCTGCATGAAGCTGGGACAAAGGAAACGATGGAGGCTCGAGCTAAAAACTCATCTTGGGCTCGAGACAATGTGCTTTAATACTAAACAATGCCCAACTGAGGCTAGAAGAGGCTTAATACACACAAAGATCTGGAAACTTCATCTCATAGACTGGAACGGATTGGTAGTGGGGGTGTCCGGCTGTGATCGTCAGCGTCCCTGAGGGGCTGGGAGGGGGGCTGCAAAAGAGGCAACAGTGGAGTTAAGCCCTCGGAGCGATCGTTCTGTGAAACGGTTAGCGGCGCTGGCTCAGTGACGCACCCCCTTCTGTGCCGCCCCAGCCGCCCCCAGGCCTGCACGGACCAGCTCCTCCGAGAGGCCCCGCTCGCAGGGAGCTAACAGGCCGGTCTCAGCCCTGGCCGCCGTCCCCTCGTGGCGCCGCCCCTGCTGTGTGGGCAGCGAGTCTCAGTCCGGTCTAGGGCATCTTGGGGGGGTGGGGCTGGGAAATCCTCTGCCCAGAACTCGGGAGAGCTGCCACGGCCACCCAGTCTCGGCAGCGCTGGGCACGCAGACCTGGAAGGGGGTTCCAGGCAGGGAAGCTTCCACCCCCCCTGGAGAGGCCTGAGCCTGCGCCGAGTCCCCCGCATGCCAGCGGGGGCTCTGCCTCCCTGCAGAAACAGCAGCTGGGGCGAAGGCCCCCCCTCCCCCGGTGCAGGAAGGGCACCCGAGGCCCTTCCTCTTCTGGTGTCGCTGGTCTCAGTTTTGCTGCCGGGAAGCACCCCGCAAGCGCAGCAGCTGACCCGGCACGGCGAGCCTTCAGCGCCGCCCTTTGGCGCCTCGGGCGGAGGTGTCGGGGGCGCTGTCCCAGGCCCACGGAGCGCGACCGCGCAGGGGCCTTCCCGCGGGTCCCACCCCCCACCTGCGCCCCTGAGCCCTCCCCTTACCGAATGGTGAGCTCCAAGATCCGAGCGAGCCGGTCGTGAAGGAGGGTTGCCTGCAGGGGGAAGCACGGACTGCCTGAGATGCTGGGACGGCCGGAGTCGCCGCTGGCCGGGGGGGGGGGGCGCTGCCTCCTTCCCGGCACAAGACCGCGCCCCAAAGGGGCCCACGTGGCAAGAGCTCGGGGTCTGAGGGCTGCGGCGGCTCCGCCGGGCATTCCGAGTAGAGAGCGGCCTGGAGTCAAGCTGAGCTGAGCCTCGGGGGGCCTCCTGCAGAGAGTGGGGCGACTCGGCCTCGCGCGGGGGCTGCGGAGGGCCGGGCTCTCCCGGGGGGCTCTCCCCGGCTCGCGGCCGGCACGGCACGCCTGAGCCTGAGCTTCCAGCACGCCCGGCCAGAAAGGAGGCCGGTCCACCTGCGCTGACCAGGGCCGGCCGGGAGGGACAGCCGGGCTCCGGCCCCTCTGCGCCCTCGTGCCTGCGGCCCCCCAGACTGACCTTGGTCTCACACTGGGCAGCGATCTCTTCAAAGGGAGCGTTCTGGAACTTCTCGATCACGAGGCGCCTCTTCTCCTTCTCCTGCTCTTCCAGACCTGCGTTGTCTTTGGCAAAGGGGAAACGGGAGGGGAGAGGAGGAAGCAGGAGGGGAGCAGGCCTCCGTCAAGAGTCTCTCGGGAAGCTCCGCTCCGCGTGGAACCAGCCAAGCGGAAGGCAGCCCGCCGAGGGCCCCGTCGGCAAGCGCGGGGAGCTGCCTGCCCACGCACAGTGGCTCTGTCCACGGCCTGGGGAGCCACGGTCCTGGGCTGGCAGTCCGCTGCCTGTGCTCCGGCGGTCGCAGGTTCTGCAGGCCTGCTTGCCAGTCAGACGGCCAGCGGCGGCCACCACGCTCGTGCCGCCCCCGTTCAAGGCAGGGGTGACATCCTCACACGTTTCGGGGGCCTTGAGAATTCCCTCCTCCAGCCTTAGTATCTTCTGAATAAGTCATCCAGTGTTGAGCTAGCCACACAGCAGTACTTAACAGGCAAATATTCTTTTGGTGGAAGAGCTGCTATTGGCTATCCTGGCTTTCTGCCCAAATGGTTCCCAGTGAGCAGAGGGGGCTCAAGCTGGATCGATCGCATCCGGCCTTTCAAAGCTGGATTTGCCACATGCTCAGCATGGCATCAAAGCAGGGAGTTCCCCTTTCTTGCCTCCAGATTATTTTATTTATTTATTTTCCGATTTATATCCTGCCTTTTTCCTGCAAAGAGCTCAAGGCAGCTTACATCTCCTCCTCCATCTTATCCCCACAACACCCCTGTGAGGCAGGTTGGGCTGAGAGTCTGTGACTGGCCCAGTCACCCAGCTGGCTCCATGGCTGAGTCGGGACTCGAACCCGGATCGCCTGAGTCCCAGTCCCACGCTCTTAACCACTGCACCACACTGGCTCTCTGGCATTTTAAAAGGCAGAGATAGCACTGAACATGCGCAAGTACGTATGGCTCCTGAACTTCTGGGATCTTTCTTACAAGTGCTGGTTAAAGATACTCATTCAGATGCTTATGATTCCGTTATCCAAGAGGAGACAGTGCCTGTTCAAGTGGAAGACAGAGCAAACACTAACCTCACCAGGCGCTCTGGCAAAACCTACCTATAGCCTTCTTCAACGATTCAAAGGTAATTTCCTCCATGTTGTTGACCTGGAAAAAAAAGCAGGTGTCTAATCTCCAGGTAGGAGGAAACAGCAGGACTGAGGGCCAGTCAGAATGACAGCAGGACCCCAGTGCAGCCCCCACAACTCCATTCTTGGTCCCGGGAAGGAAGGAGCCCTTCCTCCATGCCAGTGGGGTTTCCCTTATGGTGTTTCAAACAGCAGCTTGGCGGGGGAAGAGGGAATTGGTCATTTCTGACCATTCTAAACACATTCCAGCCATCAACATCATGCCAGGACACATCCTTTTCCTAACCTTTACCCTACCCTGGGGCACACCCCTAACCCTAATACAGGGCTAAAGTTCCACTGAAGAGAGGGCAATTTTGAAAAAGCCTTCCTCGAGCAGCTTTTTCTGCACAGCTCATCATTTCTGCCCCTTCTAAACGCATTGCAACCAGCAGAATCATGCCAGGACACCTCATTTTCCTAACCCTAACCCTACCCTGGTGCACACCCCTAACCCTAATATAGGGCGACAGTTCCATCGAAGAGAGGGATTTTGAAAAAGCCTGCCTTGAGGAGCTTTTTCTGCACAGCTCATCATTTCTGCCCCTTCTAAACGCATTGCAACCAGCAGGATCATGCCAGGACACCTCGTTTTCCTAACCCTAACCCTACCCTGGTGCACACCCCTAACCCTAATATAGGGCTAAAGTTCCATCGAAGAGAGGGCAATTTTGAAAAAGCCTTCCTTGAGTGGGTTTTTCTGCGCAGCTCATCATTTCTGCCCCTTCTACATGCATTGCAACCAGCAGAATCATGCCAGGACACCTCATTTTTCTAACCCTAACCCTACCCTGGTGCACACCCCTAACCCTAATACAGGGTAAAAGTTCCATTGA